GGAATTGGTGTATTTTTAGCTTCCTTGAGCTTGGCTTGTGCATATATTCCGTCTGTATGTAAGTACCACACTACCGCCTTAAAATATTGGTTAAGACCAGTGGCTTAACTAGTTGAGTATGTGTTTTGGAGACACTTATAGCTTCTATTTACACCATTCTGATTTTCTAGTCTTTGTATGTGTATCAGAGACACTTATAGCTTCTTTTTACACCATTCTGATTTTCTAGTCTTTGTATGTGTATCAGGGACACTTATAGCTTCTATTTACACCATTCTGATTTTCTAGTCTTTGTATGTGTATCAGGGAGACTTATAGCTTCTATTTACACCATTCTGATTTTCTAGTCTTTGTATTTGTATCAGAGACCCTTATAGCTTCTATTAACACCATTCTGATTTTCTAGTCTTTGTATTTGAATCAGAGACACTTATAGCTTCTATTTACACCATTCTGATTTTCTAGTCTTTGTATGAGTATCAAGTACACTTATAGCTTCTATTTATCATTTTAGACTATTTGAACGAAAAATGCAATACTCAAATTCAATTCAGCAATGACGTACGAATCAAACTTACCAGGTACTCGTATACCAATTTGAGACGGAGCTTGAACTGCCAAATAACCATCTCGACTCGGGACGTATCCGACAAGCTGCTACTCCGATTCAGAAGCCTTGATACCAGAACCTCCTTTGGCTGTACGACCAATAAGCTCAGCATTTACGACACTAATGGTAACATTCTATCAGGTACGTGCACTGCTTAAATCATAACGATTCATCAAGGGTGTTTGAGTCACACGATCTCCAACCCTTGATACATCAGGGAAATTTGTCAAGAGGGTGTCATTATCCTTCTCTTCTGTGATATCCAAGGTATCCATTCCCAGAAGGCTGGAAGAGATTCTAGAAGATTTGGTGGTTGTGGGTTCTTATCTCAGTCGGTGTGTTAAAGTCTGATGGCCTGCAACCCAGCTGTAAATTGGTACAGATAATCTGGAAAAGATCCATGCCAAGAGGTTTGGCCAAGGACCAGCTAGTAGAAAGGGTCCTATGTGAACCTAAGTTGTTATCCTTGTAACGCCAATGCCAAGAGGTTTGGCCAAGGACCAGCTGGTAGAAAAGGTCCTTTGTGAACCTGAGTTGTTACACTTGTAAAATATGGTTCTTTCTGTTCGTTCGTTCTCGTCAATTGAGTCAATTTTTTTTTCTTTTAGGAGGTGGTATATGTGGCGGCATCCGACCTTCGAAAGTATACGAGACCACAGGTTCTAGTCTGAAGCTCCTGTTTAACACAGACAGTTTTACACGCCAGACCGGCAACTTCGACGTATTGATTACGTCTTTCAATAATGGCAACAGAAACGGTAAGACCTGTTTGACGCTAAATAAAACGAATCGGGGTCATTCGACCTACTTTTCTATAGGTTGATATAAACGACCAACGACCTAGATTACTTCTAGAATGACCTACATTATATACGGATTGATCTATATTATTTTAAGTTGACCCATATTATATTAAATTGGCCTATTTATTTCTAGATTGACCTAATTAATTTTCCAGGCTCATGTTTTGCGGGTGATTATCGCTGTGAGAATAAGAGGTGTATCTATAACGGACTTACTTGTGACGGTTACAACAACTGCGGCGACGACTCCGACGAAATTGATGGATGTGGACTCTCGAAAGGAGTATTTATCGGAATCGGTATCGGAGGTTTTGTCTTCCTGGTTTTAATAATCCTGGGCATTATTTGTGGACGACGAAGATACTATCATCATCACGTAAGTTTATAGCCAATAAATCCCGACCATTACATTCTAATGGGCGTGGTATCGTCTTTTGAACCACGCCCCTTATCCTTACATAGGGGCTGTGGTTTACTCTTTGCTAAGAGATTCGCATAAGGCAATGAATTTATCCAATCAAAACAATCATATATCAGAGGGGTAGCTCGTATTATTTGTGTGTTCATATTTACAAAACAAATCGCAAAAATGACACGTGCAAACAACCGCCCGCCATTTTGACAAGGCTCAATCATAATGCATCACCTTTTTTTATTTCTTTTTCAGTGCCATGGTCCAACGATCACCACCACAACAAAATCCTATCAGAATTTCTAAATCGTTTTTCACTGCATAATGACTTAAACATTCTCATTACGTCATCAACAGTGGCTCAACTACCAAAGGAACTGGTTGAACCAAATCCACGGGACCCCAACCCTCCAAAAGGACCCTACACCTAGAAAAGTTTGGTTCAAAGGGGCCCCCTTCTTTAGCTGAGTCACTGGCCATCATTTTTGTTTCTGGATTTGTGATTGAGGTATAACGGTATAACGAATAACGAGCAGGTTCTTTAAAACAAATGACGAGCTAGTTCGGTTTAACGAATATCGAGTCCCTGTCTCGGCCAATCATAAATGTTCATCATTGTGTGTTTACTTCAATAAAATACTCACCCTTCTAAATGTATTTTTGTTTTTTATTCTACATGGATGAAATCAAATATAGTGTAGCTTCATTTGCCTCGGCAAGGGCATTGGAGTACTCTATTTCAAATCCCAATTCAGAAGGTATCTTTGTTATGCAGATCCTATACACAGTCAGTCGCCAATGCAACTCATAAGACACTTGTCACAAATTGTTGAATTTTTAACCTAGTATGTTGAATTTTCAAGTTATAATGTTGAATTTTCAAGTTATAATGTTGAATTTTCAAGTTATAATGTTGTATTTTCAAGTTAGTATGTTGAATTTTCAAGTTAGTATGTTGAATTTTCAAGTTAGTATGTTGAATTTAGTAACTTGAATTTTCAAGTTAGTGTGTTGAATTTTCAAGTTACTAAATACAAGATACTAACTTGAAAATTCAAGATACTAACTTGAAAATTCAAAAAAAAACATTAATGGCCCTAATACGCTTCCGTAGATATCACATTATGGGACAGGTTTGCCTTTTTAAGGACCTATCGTATCTAAGTTGTTTAGCTGAGCCAATCAGTAATATTCTTCAAAACTCACCGTCCAAATTTGAGTCTTCAGATCCATGTGTGTCCAGAATTATCCCCGTTTTATATGATGCATAGAAGCATGGACCAATTTATTTACAAATCAAATTATATTTACATTGCATAGAAGCATAGATAACGCATTTACATTGCATAGAACCATGAACAATTTATTTACAAAGAAAGCCGTATCGATTATAGCAATAGAGCAATGAATAGTCGCTTAAAGTAATGTGTGCACGTACGAGGAACTTTCCAACGTAGGCTTGACGAGTCCATTTTATTTTTTGGGTGGCATAACTGGTATATATACTATACAAGCCAGACACATTGTGTTCATTACTATTCAAACTACCTAAAAATATAATGGACTGATCAAGTTTGCCTTTTAATATGGCCTTCGTACGTGCACAAGTATTTCTCACTATAGTCCTAAATCTAAACCAGATCAGTCCACTTTATTCCAGGGTATTAATGGTATATACTATACAAGCCAAGCATATATTGTCTATTACATCTATTACTACTTAAACCACCTAAAAATGAAGTGGACTGATCAAGTTTGCATTTGGATCATCTCGTACGTGCATTATTATTTTCTGTAGTACAGAAAACCAAGTTTATAAGATTGGAAGGGTTCCAACGACCATGCTTTCAATGCTGCACTCGTCATTTCCCCGGCTAATACGGAAGAATCCCTCCTCACCCCATGTCTCCCCCCAGCTGTTCTTCACAATCCAGTATTTTTCACCAGAGTCCGCATCCTGACCGTACCCCACAATCAGCACCACGTGGTTGGTGATCTCCCACGGGTTAAACCGGTCCAACAGCTCCGTGTGGTGGTATATTCCACTCTGAAACAGAGAATTGGGATCAGAGTTAGGTTTTGAATGTGAGGATTCGGTGTAAGATACAGGGAATTGGTTTTAGGATCAGGGAATTCGGTTTTAGACCAGAGACGCGGTTTTTTTGATACAGGGAAGTAGGATTTAGGGTACAGGGAATTTTGTATTGGTGACGGGTATATGGCTATTGACACAGGGAATTTGGTGTTTGACACAGGGAATTTGGTGTTTGACACAGGGAATTTGGTGTTGTTTGACACAGGGAATTTGGTGTTTGACACAGGGAATTGGGTTTTTGACACAGGGAATTTGGTGTTTGACACAGGGAATTGGGTGTTTGACACAGGGAATTTAGTGTTTGACACAGGGAATTTGGTGTTTGACACAGGGAATTTGGTTTTTGACACAGGGAATTTGGTTTTCTGTTCTGTTTTGGGTACAGAAAACTGGTTAACAGAATACAGAAATTTCTGTTGGGTACAGTGGAACAAACCATTGGAATTTTTTGGGTAGCATCAAACCCCCTTTCAAATGCCTAGCCTATCTCCTACCTTATAATGTTGAAAGTCAGGGTAGACTTGGAAACTAACTGCAACTGGTCCGTACTTCGCTACCTCAATCCTCATCAAAGCCTCATTACAACCGCCATAAAACCCTCCGACATAATAATAGTCCCTGGTGTAATATCTTGGACAGGTCGTAGTGATACATTTAACGTCCTTTGCCTTGTACGTGAAACAGGAGTCTTCGATTAATCCGAAATCCTGTCCGTATTTGCCTAGAATGAAAAGAAATGACGTAATGATCTGATTGAAGCACAAGATGGACCTAAGATTTTTGTTGAAACGCGGTTTGAAGAAACCAGCTAGTCTTGGCAGGTCCGTAGCCAGATTTGATTGTTCTGAAGGGCAAGTAATATATCTGGAGGGGCCAGTAATATATCTGGAGGGACAAGTAATATATGTGGAGGGGCCAGTAATATATCTGGAGGGACAAGTAATATATCTGGAGGGGCTAGTAATATATCTGGAGGGGCAAGTAATATATCTGAAGGGACAAGTAATATATCTGGAGGGATAAGTAATATATCTAGAGGGCAAGTAACATATCTGGAGGGACAAGTTATATATCCAAAGGGGCAAGTAATATATCTGGAGGGACAAGTAATATATCTAGAGGAGCAAGTAATATATCTGAAGGGGCAAGTAATATATCTGGAAGGACAAGTAATATATCTGGAGGGACAAGTAATATATCTGGAAGGACAAGTTATATATCTGGAAGGACAAGTAATATATCTGGAGGGACAAGTTATATATCCAAAGGGGCAAGTAATATATCTAGAGGTGCAAGTAATATATCTGGAGGGGCAAGTAATGTATCTAGAGGTGCAAGTAATATATCTGGCAATGATGTATGGTGCTGTCACCAAGGGGCAATCCATTTTTCTCCCTCCTTTGGATCCCCCTGTAGCTACGGACAAAAAGGCGAAAGACCTCGATGCCGTTTTTAAAAGCGTACAGCTGATCACAAGACGTAAGATTATTTACCAGCAATAAGGTAAGGGAAACCGCCATCGCAGCCTTGAGAGTATTCCGAACAGCTGACAATATCCTGCGTCGAGAAGACCTTCTGGACGGTGTTATTGGTAGCAATCCTCAACCGAGCTTCATGGAGAGCCATGGATCCAAAGGCATAGCAACTACCGCAGGTTTTCTGATTTCGGACCGGTGATACAAAGTTCTGTCCGTTTACGTCTCTCCAATCGAAATTCTTTGGTAATCTGTCGGCCACTGGAAATAAAAAGTTAAAATCCTTAACCAGCATCTTCGTGGACTATCCAAAGGACACTGAGTTGGCAAACCATATAGAATTTTAATATTGATGGACTCTCATGAAGGGATGCTGAGTTGACAAACCTAAGTACCAAAGATTACCATTAGCTCTTGGCTTCGTGAGCGCTCCATATAAATGATCCTCTTCATGCGGACACTCAAAGAGGAATATCCAGTTGGCGAGTCAAATTAAAGAGTGCCCCTACCTTTCTGTGTTTCTGGTAGAACTCTTGCTGTTTTTGGGAAAGCATCGGCAGATCTTCGACCACCAGAGCGTCTTGTCATGTCTGAAAGCATCATGCCAGAGTATTCCGGATACACTGTAGCTGTCCAAGACTTTTGATGCTTGTTGATTCCTGAAATTCAAGACTGACTTTTGAGATGGGTTAATGCTGTGGTGTTTGGTCATCATTATAGTCGACCAAGCTGTAGATGGGTACAGGAAAAAACAGGGAAGATCAATGCCGAGAGGTGTGGTCATCATTCCAGTCAACCCAGCTGAAAATGGGTACAATTGATCCGGAAAAGATTTATGCCAAGAGATTTTGTCGAGGTCAGGTTGCTAGACAGTATCATCATCATTTCAGTCCACCAAGCTGTCAATGCGTAGGGATGTTCCGGTAAAGATCTATGCCAAGGGGTTTAGTCCAGAATCAGTTGGTAGATTTGTACCTATTTACAGCTGGGTTGACTGGAATAACGCAGGAGATGAGTTATTCAAGTTCAACAGAATTTCACAGGGCGACCGAGATAAGAACCCACGACTGCAATTAGTTCTACGTGATTGATATACACACTATGGAAACGCCCACCAAGATTAAGATCGACGACCAACATTAGTTCTACGTACCCAAGCTTATGATTGATAAACACCACACTATGGAAACGCCGACCAAGATAAGAACCGACGACGGCCATGCTAATGATCGATATACACTTGTACGTACTTTGGATAAATTCGGCATTGCTCTTGTATTTCCAATTATTAAAAAACTCGGATCTGTGGAGTTGATGCTGCTTCGGCATCTCGTCTCCCTTCTTCTGCCCGGAATAGCAGGCCCAGTTTCGTTCGTCGTCATCGTGCACCCATCCAGGGAAGGTCTGGGAGCAGTAGCTGGTCACTTTCTTCCCATCTTGAGTGTATTTGGAGAAGGCGAAGAACCTCTTCTTGTTGATTCTGACCTCGAATCCTTGGTTGTAGATCAGGGTCCATCTTCCTGAGGCAGAAAAAGTTGGAAGCTAGATAATTTTGTTCACAATCCAGGCCATAGAATGCCCGACAAACCTGGTCCTACCTGTCCCTCGGGCCTAATATAAGGATGTGACAGGTCCCTCGGACGTGATATGCGGATGTGACAGGGTCCTCGGGCCTAATATAAGGATGTGACAGGTCCCTCGGGCGTGATATGCGGCTGTGACAGGGTCCTCGGGCCTAATATACGGATGTGACAAGTTCCTTGGACATAATATACGGATGTGACACGTTGAGAAGTTCAAAGGTATATCTGCACCTACGCCGGGATCGAATTCAGGGCGTCCAGGTTAGCGAGCCACCACAGCCCCCTCCCTAACTCACCTTGGTTTCCATATTGGTCAAAGGCGACATCTGGGAAATACAGGACTACATCGTATTCGGAGACTGGCTTAAAATCTGCAGTGCAGTTAATGGTATTGTCTCCACCGCCCTGTAATATAAACGACGATAATAATCATCAGTGTAGATGCCATGTGCTGATGCTTCTATCACTGCACTACAGGGCGGTAGAGACAATAGAATCAGTGTAAGTGTGATAGCATGGTCTCTACCGCCTTGGAAATATTTCGATGATGAAATCATCGGTGTATGTCATATACTGATGCTTTTATCATTCCAAGACGGTGGGTACAATGAAAAATCACCAACACACTTCATGATATCGCCTCCACCGCCCTGATGATGATGCGATAAAATCACCAGTTCTGTTGATATTTCCAACACCACCATTCAAATAGATCTAAAAATGGTGATGGCGCGATGACTAAGCATCCACAAACCGAAACTGAAAGTAACAATGTTTCCGACTCTCTGTCATCTTGAGTCTTGAATATATGTAAATAGTCTTCAGAAGTACTAGAAATGTACAAAAATCGCACAAGAATCCTTCAAAAATATCCCAAACTAGGAATTTCACTTTCTACTTCTATAGATGTCTTTTCTATATATGACAGTGTCTCAAGAAAAGAGGAGTCGTCATTTTAACCTTCAAACAGGGATTTTTCTGATAATTCTGGACACACATGGATTTGAAGGCTCAAATTTTGACAGTGAGCTGTAAACACTATTACTGATTAGCTTAGCTAAAAAATTCCGTTTCTGAGACTAAGGTACCATTGGTCAAACGGATGGCGAATAATCTCTTCTTGAAAAGGGTCACGAGTCAGTTTCTTCTCTTACCTTGCTCCAACACATCGATATTCTGGTCACTTACAGACTCATATGTGTCTTTATGCTACCTACGTCATTATTCAATTGACCAATATAGCAACAAAAATTAGCTATAAATATCAGTGACTAAATTATTACTAAATTCCTAATTTGGGTCCATTTCTGTTGTTTTCGGTTGATTCGGGTTACATACAGCAATTAGTAAGTGTCAGTTACTCAAACCAAAATGTCTCCATACAAAACGAAAGTAGAACTATACTGTAAAGCTATATACATATATACAATAACGTGTAATATTTCCACTTACCTGCCCGATTGAAAAAGTCCAGGCACCTCGTATACTTTCAAAAGTACAATTAGCCGGGGTGTCACTTCTCACAAAAGTAACCAAAGCTACCAAAAACAACCAGAGTAAAGCAAACTTGCACATTTTCAATGCCGACCGAGTGACCACTTCAAAAGGCGTTTATCTAACTTCTCCAAACGCCAAAGCCTTTGCACATGATTTGGAGATAGTGGGTCGCTATGATAACAATAATGTTACTAAAAATAAATCCCTTATATTTCCGCATGAGATCATGGGCCATATTGGATTGGTCTTTCCCGGGCTTTCAAATTTGGTTTCGTAAATCCCAGCCAACCACAGCACCAACTGGCCAACCGGAAGTTCAAATTTTACCGGAAATAGGTGGTGCTGTTCCTATAATTTTACTTATTTAGTTTGAAGGTGTCTTTAAAATGTGGTCAAAGCACTAGCTTTATGCTTTATGGCTGAACGAGTTCAATTTCACTCACTCATGGTTACTTCGAGTAAAATGGCAGCTGTGGGTTCTAATCTCGAACATCGTGTGAAAGTCAGACGACCTTGAATAAGTCATCTCCACTCATAATTCCAGTCAACCCAGCTGTAAATTGGTACAGATAAAGATCAATGCCAAGAGGTTTGGTCAAGGACCAGCTGGTAGAAAAGATCCTCATTATTCCAGTCAACCCAGCTGTAAATGGATACAGATAATCCAGGAATGATCAATGTCAAGAGGTTTGGTCAAGGATCAGCTGGTAGACAGGATCCACATCAACCCCAAACGTCAAGGAGCTACGTGTAAGCCGACAAAAGGTTTAATGGCAAGCAAGTCAAAATGGGTCTGTTGTAAATTGCACATAGCCCGGTCGCATACATAACAAATACGACCAAACATAGGATTGAGGTCACATGACTAGTTCGTCTGCTTGTCACGAGGAAGTATAAGGCGTAAATTCATCATTTCCTTTCCGGTATCCGTTCATTAAAAATCATCGAAACCCGAATCATGGCGTGATCTTCTTCCAATACAGATTTAAGACAAATTTGAGACGTTCGTATGGGACGAAAAAAAAGGCAGGCCATGCCCTAATCCAAGTGCTCTGAAACTTGGGAGAGGTGGCCTTAAATGATTTTTAGTCACAAAATGAGCAAAATAGTGTCTTGATGGCCACTGTGAAGTCAATTCCAAAAGGGTTGGTGGAGCCATTCGAAAATCAATGGAATCAAAGCGATGAAATGTCCATTGCACACTGCATCGGGTTTCCCAACCAATTAGCTAATGTTGGGCAGAAATTTAGGGACTCCGTTATATTTTTCAGGTTCTAATATTGTATTCGGGTCCGTAGCTAAAGGAAGTTGGGAGTGGGGGGGGGATGCAGACCCTCCCTAAGAAATATTTTCTCCCCCTGAAAAATTAGATGGCTTGTTGGGTCAAATAGTTGAGCCCCCCACCCCATCGACTTAAATGTTTGCCTGTCCCCACCCCGCGACCCTGGGACCCTTGACTACCAACGGACATGATTGTATTTCACGTCTGTCCAAAGACACGTACGAACAGTGGGCTGGCATGTACAGACGTATAGATAAGATTACGAACTTAATCCTTCCTTGGCTGGCTTATCTCTTTCAAATAGAAGTCACATAGTCAAAATAACCCAGTTCCTTCCAAATATCCACCATGAAAGTTCTTCTACTTCTGGTTTCTTTGATTCCTTTGGTTCTTTCTCACAAGAGTTTCATGCAAAAGATTCCAAATGGGATGACAGTGCCACATCCTTGCCAACCTGGAGCGGTCTGGAGAGCTGTTGGACATACTAATATGCATGGTGGACACATCATTAACAGTTTTGGTTTGGTAAGTAGGACGCCATTTTCTCACCCAAGCTGATCTTGGTTTTTTCGACGGAGGTTCAGCTGTAGCACAATCGGTTGGGGCGTTGGAACCTTTCATGACGTCATTTGTTTGGTTACACCGAACATGGTAGTCGTGGGTTCTAATCTCGGTCGGTAGTGAAAGTCTGCATACCTTGAATAAGTCATCATTATTCCAGTCAACCCAGCTGTACATGGGTACGGATTATCCGGGAAAGATCAAAAATATGAATTCAATTGAGCACGATTTAAGCAAAAATTTATTAAGATCATACTAGACCAAATCTTAAATTTCCTCCTAGGCGTTCCACAGAGCTGGTAGTGAGTGGACTAAAGAACTTTGTCAAGCGGATTCCGACCAGGATGGGAAGACGAACGGTGAAGAGCTCGGTGATCCAGAATGTAAATGGGCACCCGACGCCGATCCTCCGACCACGGACGCCAAGAGCCATCCAGGTAAATGCGACGTTTTGACATAGAAGTGGGGAAAGTCGATTAAATCAAGACTTTATCATTTCGATAATTGGAAATACATTCTGTTTTGAACTCGAGCAGTCACAATTTCCGAGTTTTCTTCAATGAATTCGTGAGTTATGGCCCTTGATTGATCACATTTTCATATTTTTCTTTCCAGGTATTTGTGAGCCCATTGGATCTCCCTTGTGCAAAAATCAGAGATTGCAATGTTAACAAAAATATAATTTGTTTACAAAAGAATACAATTTTGAAATTCATGAATAAATTATGAATAAATTATGAATAAATTATGCAAATTTTAAAGGGATAGTGTCGTGGAATCATTCGTTTTCTCAAACGCAATACCTCAAACTTTTGAAGTTTGAGCCTCAACCAAAGGAATAAATAGTCTTTCAGTTTGTCAACTATCAGACCATAACGGAAGCTATCCGTAGTACTTTTCAGAATGGATAATTGACTTAAAGTTCTTATCTATCTGAGTATCATCATAATGTGGATCTACCAAAAACGCCTTAGGTCTTCATTTCAGCCAATCAAAGGAGTTTTTTTAGAAGCACATATCCCTTAAAAGAGTATTTATATACAAACGGATAAAAATAGATTTCAATTGTCGATATCAAAAACCTTCCATTTTTCTTCCAAATTTGGTGGATTTTTCTTTAAAACTCTTCAAGATCCACCAAGCTGAGATGAGTCTATACAAAAAAAAAAAAAATGATTTGTTTCTACCTATATCACTTATCAGAAAGAAACTCCGGCATCTGGTCCGTTGACAATTAAATAAAATCGACACTAACACATGCTACTCTAACTGAAATGGATACAGTCGCCATTACTCTGTTTATCAAATGATATACAAATTAATTTCAGCTATACATAACACTTATCAGAAAAAAAAACTCCGACATCTGGTTCGTTGACAATTAAATAAAATCGACAGTAACTCAAACTGGAATGACTAAGCGGGATCCAGTCGTCTAATTATTCGATTTATTAAATGATATACAAATTAATTTCAGCTGGACATAACACTTATCAGGATAATAATATAAGATTCCAGTTCGTCTACAAACAAACTAACCTGTGGGACGGGTTGTTGTTTCTTTGGAGCAGACTTCTTGGACGAACCTGGGTTTTTCTGTTCTTTATCTCGTGTCCATGGTGGAACATACTCATTGTAGGTAGGCTAAAATTAAAATGAATCCATTACCATTTGAAATCAATTACCCATTTGAAATGCAATACCCATTTGAAATTAATTACCCGTTTGAAAACAATTACCTAATTGAAATCCATTACCAATTTGAAATCAATTACCCATTTGAAATCCATTACCCATTTAAAATCAATTACCCATTTGAAATCCATTACCCATTTGAAATCCATTACCCATTTGAAATCCATTACCCATTTGAAATCAATTACCATTTGAAATCAATTACCCATTTGAAATCAATTACCCATTTGAAATAAATTACCATTTGAAATCAATAACCCCTTTGAAATCAATTACCCATTGAAATCCATTACCAATTTGAAATCAATAACCCCTTTGAAATCAATTACCCATTGAAATCCATTACCAATTTGAAATCAATAACCCCTTTGAAATCAATTACCCATTGAAATCCATTACCAATTTGAAATCAATAACTCCTTTGAAATCAATTACCCATTGAAATCCATTACCAAATTGAAATCAATAACCCCTTTGAAATCAATTACCCATTGAAATCCATTACCAATTTAAAATCAATAACCCCTTTAAAATCAATTACCCATTGAAATCCATTACCAATTTGTAATCAATTACCCATTTGAAATCAATAACCCCTTTGAAATCAATTACCCAATTTGAAATCAATAACCCCTTTGAAATCAGTTACCCATTTGAAATCCATTACCTATTTGTAATCCATTACCCATTTGAATTCAAAAGGAATCCCTTTTCTTCCTCGCTTCCTTAACCCCACCCCCACCCTTCTCGCCAAACCTTACCCCTCCCCTCTGTCATAAACCTAAAATTCAATACTCACTGGATTGCTGGACGTCGGTGTTTTATATTCGTGAAATTTCGGCTCGGTCTGTGTAGGGGTATACTCCACGCTTTTGGATTTGTATTCTTTGATTTCATATTCTTTGTATCCTTTGGAGGCCATCTTGAATTGGAGTATTTCACGGATACCGTTACGATGCGGGGTATCACAGAAACAGCGTTAATGCGTTAGATATGACCCTTTCACAGATACGGCGTAAATACGCTGCTTTCGGGGATACGGCGTAGATACGATGCTTTCACAGATACAGCGAAGATACGATAATTTCACAGATACGGCGAAGATACGATGCTTTCAGGGATACGGCGAAGATACGATGCTTTCAGGGATACGGCGAAGATACGATGCTTTCAGGGATACGGCGTAGATACGATAATTTCACAGATACGGCGAAGATACGATGCTTTCAGGGATACGGCGAAGATACGATGCTTTCAGGGATACGGCGAAGATACGATGCTTTCACATATACGTCGACGATATGGTAATTTGCCAGATACAACACATTTACCAATACGGTACAGACATAGTACTTTCAGCGATACGGCGAAGATACGGTACATTCACAGATACGGCACAAATTTCCACAGTTACGGCACAGATGCGTCAGATACGACTTAGATACGGTACGACCCAGAGCATACGGACATGCCAAGTCACTAAGTTTACGTTGGTTACAGGACGCGTTCGTGTTAGCTATTATGACGAATGATATAAAAAATACTGTTTAAACAACAAATCCAGCCAAAATAAACATAAATGCTTAAAAATCTTATTGACTAAGGATGAAATTACGCGGGTTTAGCCAATAGAAGTCGAGTATGAAATGTCGATCTAGTTTATTAATAATGGATTATTTGTCTACACACACTAAAGATAACAACCAAACGGATTTAACCTGCAAATCATAGTCCGAATCATACTGACTTAGATTATCTATTGAAGATGACTTAAAGATGCTCTCTTAGATGACTTAAAAGAGCTCTCCTAGATAACTTACAGATCTCCTAGCTGACGTAAAGTAGCTCTCCTAGATGACTTAAAGTAGCTCTCCTAGATGACTTAAAATAGATCCCCCAGATGAATTAAAATAGCTCTCTCAGACGACGTAAAGTAGCTATCCTAGATGACTTAAAATAGATCTCAAAGATGACTTAAAATAGCTCTCTCAGATGACTTAAAATGGCTCTCCTAGATGACTTAAAGAGCTCTCCTCGATGACTTAAAATAGCTCTCCTAGATGAGTTAAAATGGCTCCCCAGATGACTTAAAATGGCTCTCGTAGATGACTTAAATAGCTCTCTCAGATGACTTAAAGTAGCTCTCCTAGATGACATAAATAGCTCTCTCCGATGACATAAAATGGCTCTCGTAGATGACTTAGAGTGGCTCTCCTAGATAACCATTCCTGATGACTCAACGTTGCTCTCTTAGATGACTTAAAAGAGCTCTCCTCGGATGACGTAAATTAACTCTCTCAGATGACGTAAAGTAGCTCTCCTAGATGACTTAAAACAGTTCTCCTAGATGACGTAAAGTAGCTCTCTCAGATGACGTAAAATAGATCTCTCAGATGACGTAAAATAGATCTCTCAGATGACGTAAAATAGATCTCTCAGATGAAGTAAACTTGCTCTCCTAGATGACTTAAAGTAGCTCTCCCAGATAGCCATTCCAGTTGACTTAAAGTAGTCATCAGACAAGTCTGAGGTTTGTCAAGGTATAGGACACAGTTTGTCATAGCTTGACATTATGAAGAGGATATCTCGGTAGGGTGTATCTCGGATTAACTCAACTGAAGAAGATCGATAAGTCGGTATAGATTTTTGATTGTCGGCTGTTAATTATAGGTTATAGAGGTTGTAAATATATTGCTATTGTCATGTAGTTACAGCGTTTTTACAGTATTCTATGAATGGCCTAGGAAGGGCCATAAAATTATCAGAGGGGAGTGGGGGGCTAGGGCGTGTTGGGTTGCAAACAGGTTCTTTACTTATGTAAAATTTCAACAGACGTCTGTGATTCCTGAAATTCCACTAAAACTAAGCGTTAGATGATGTCACAAATCGCGAAGGTTCTTATGTGATAAAGCATATTTAACGATTAGTGACGTCATCAAACACTTAGTTTCAGTGGAATTGCAGGAATCGTTTGGGCCACCATTGATCTAAACTACCGTGTCCAACTAGCTAGCGAATTGTGATACGATAACAGTGAGCCACCATTGATCTAAACTATCATGTCCACCTAGCTAGTAGATTGTGACACGATGGCAGTGAGCCTCCATTGATACCACCTTCGCATAAAAAAATATCGGACAGACAAACGGACAGGGGTGACAACACTATAACGTTAATGTGGTATCTAATTTCCTTTAACGGTAGAATGCGTTCTATTGTAAATTTAATCACATATAGTTAAAGAAGCAATCGAGCATAACCAGCAATAACCGCCAAATATTATTCTACGACATGTATAATTTAATAACCATTAGGATTATTTGGCGTTAATTGCCGAGTGGCGTCAAATTTCATCAAATTTGATATAGTTTTTATTTAATGATATACTAAAAATGTGTCACACAGCCAAACCCGACAAAATATATATATGCTATAGTAGAATTTTTTTACATCAGCTTCTTTTTGGCGGGTATTGCTGCTAACAACCAATCGAAATGTTTTACACAAATTAATCAAAGCTTTTTAGAATACCATCTTTGGGTTTGTTTACATTCACCGGTTTGTGTACTGAAAATATTTTGCCTGATTGAGTACCATGTATACGTCTACATGTTTGTGTACAAAGTAATATCTATCGGCTTTGTTTACATGATGTATTAATCTATCGGTTTGTTTACAATATGTATTGACTATCGGTTTGTTTACAATATGTATTAACTATCGGTTTGTTTACAAGGTGTAGTAACTACCGGTTTGTCTACAAGGTGTATTAGCTATCGGTTTGTCTACAAGGTGTATTTAACATCGGTTTGTGTACAATGTGTATGAACTACCGGTTTGTTAACAAGGTGTATTTGCCATCGGTTTGTTTACAAAGTGTATCAACTATCGATTTGTTTACAAGGTATAATGAAGGACGGTTTGTTTACAAGGTATAGTGAATGCCGGTTTGTTTACAAGGTATAGTGGATGTCGGTTTGTTTACAAGGTATAATGAATACCGGTTTGTTTACACGGTGTAGTGAATGACGGTTTGTTTACAAGGTATAGTGAATGCCGGTTTGTTTACACGGTGTAGTGAATGTCGGTTTGTTTACACGGTGTAGTCAATGCCGGTTTGTTTACAAGGTGTGTTAACTGCCGGTTTGTTTACACGGTGTATCAACTACCGCTTTGTTTATCTCAAACGACAAACTCTAACGACTTATCTTAACGATCCACTCTAACGATCAATTCTAACGACCAACTCTAACGACCAACTCTAACGATCAACTCTGACGTTTTCAAACATGGACAAGCAATACAGTAAGGTATCCGAATACAAGGTCAAAAACTATAATCCAACAATAAAAGAATATAAATCCAAGATGGCCGAGCCAAAAATTACTGACTACAAACTCCGAGATCCACCAAAATTAGAAGTCGATTACAACAAACCTGTTAAAGTTTTGGTAAGTAACATAACAAAGTCTTTCGTTGCGTTTTTTCTGTGGGGGACACAATAGGCTGATGCACTAGTTATCCCGGATCTGACAACGTTGTTAAGCGTGTCATATTCTGAAGTGAATATCATAATTCAACCAATCAACTAACTCGAAAAATCCGGCCCTATCATTCCTAAAGTAATATACCCGGGGGCAATGGGGTATGGTGTTAAATTGCAGTTATGAAATGGTCGGTTGGCAGTGGTTTTGGGGCAATTCCCTGTTGCTGCGGGACTGAATTTCCTTGTAATCCCAAAAGGGTTGTCAACAGAAGCCATTTCTTGTACATTTCAGCCAAGTAAACCAATTGATACCAAATATAAGGAATACGTTCCAGTCTGGTCGAAAGGACCACAAGAACACCAAGCTAGAGTAAAACGGAAACCAAAGAAAACCAAGGTAAAGTCAATCCATGGGAACGTCTCCCTAACTCTTTTAAAAAAAATTTTGCCGCCAATTAAAGTCAATACAGTGGCGCCACCTGACGTGACAATGGCAACGTCACTTTCTACCTATATAGATCATTTGGGATATGAACTAAGTTGGCCTCCTTAACACGGAATAGACACAGCGACCTAAAATTCCCTTATTATCCACTGCCTGGCTCTGCCCAACTCCAATGGGCCTAAATCAGAAGAAGAACAGAGTGTAAGACTCTTTTCTTTATAGTTAAATTAATTTCATATCGTAAAAATGAAACGAAACGCCCGCGGAGACGGACGACGTCAAGCAGTGTACAATGCCTCTATTTCGCCAGGACAATGGCATGGGCCTTTAATTTGTCTTTATATTGTAGAAAGAAGTGGTACTACCAGGTTTTTCAAGTCTAGGTACAATCAAAAGATCGATTTACATGTTTCATGAACCAGAGGATGAAACGGAATAAGACGTTTACATTGTAAAATGTTTACGTGTTTACATCTTCAAATAGTTACGTTTTTACGGTTTCAAAAAGTTACATTGTCGAATCTTTTAATGTTTACGTGGTCAAATATTTTACTGTTTACTTTGTCTAATGTTTACATTGACTAATATTCAAATGTTTACATTGTCAAATATTCTAATGTTTATATTTTCTAATGTTTACATTGTCCAATATTTATTTGTTTACATTGTCAAATAATTAAATATTTTACTGTTTACATTGTCTAATGTTTACATTGTCAAATATTCTAATGTTTATATTTTCTAATGTTTACATTTTCTAATGTTTATTTGTTTACATTGTCAAATAATTAAATGTTTACAATATCAAATTTTCAAATGGTTACATTGTCAAATATTCAAATGTTTTACATTGTCAAATATCCAAATGTTTACATTATCAAATATCCAAAAGTTTACATTGTCAAAGATTCTAATGTTTACATTGTCAAATATTCAAATGTTTACATTATCAAATATCCAAATTTTTAAATTTTCAAATCTTTAAATGTTTACATTGTCAAATCTTTAAATGTTTACATTGTCAAATATTTACATGTTTACATTGTCGAATGTTTAAATGTTTACATTGTCAAATATTTACATGTTTACATTGTCGAATGTTTAAATGTTTACATTGTCAAATATTTACATGTTTACATTGTTAAATCTTTAAATGTTTACATTGTCAAATATTTACATGTTTACATTGTCAAATGTTTAAATGTTTACATTGTCAAATCTTTTAATGTTTACATTGTCAAATATTTACATGTTTACATTGTCAAATCTTTAAATGTTTACATTGTCAAATATTTACATGTTTACATTGTCAAATCTTTACATGTTTACATTGTCAAATAAACTTTGTACCATTGCGAGATACGAGTTAAAACCACAAAATGAGTGACTCACATTTTCGAATGGCTACAAAAATTGCACGAAATATACATAAATTCGCAATAATCCCCATTATGTCAAAAAATTGTCTTTTCAAAACGACAATAAACCTGCCGAATAAACATAGCTACTCATACGCAAAAGGCAACAAAATAACAGTTTGAATTAGTTGAAGTAGACGCATTTATTTCGAAATTTTATTCAAATTTGGACTCATTTGTAAATTGCTCACGTAATTTGCCAGGAGCAGTCAAAATGTATACTATTTTAATCTAAAGACGGTCTTGCAATTGTTGTTTTTGAAAAATTTTCAGCATATTCGCCAAAGCGGATTTCGTCTACAATGGTTTTGGACCGTATCAGTTCGATTCTATTTTTAGGATCTCTCTTAGGTAAGTGTTTATCTCTACTGACGATTGGCTATATTCTCTAAACATGCTTCAACGGCACATATGGCTACAGTACATTTCAAAAAATGAAAGCAAAAATTGTAACGAAAGACCAAATTCATCAGATGCAATATCAATCCATAACCACTTTTTAAACGGATAGAACCTGACTCCCGGTATCCGTAGTACTTTTCAAAACGAAAATCCCATACACAGTTCAAAGGAACTGCTGTTTTCTCCGGTGCCATTAACATTTTCATGGAATTCCAGTTGGATTTTCGAAGGCAGTTTTGATCGGAATACTTAGATCGCACCTTTTCAAGAAATTTGTCCCGATCATTCAGGACCGTTCATGAAAGCGCTAAGTCAAAAACAATGGCCAAATAAGTTGTTTCAATATGCGGACTATTAGAATGCGTTAAAGGTATCTAGCCATCTAAATTTGTGCTTAAATAGAGCTGGGGAAATATGTAAACGACCATATACCTTTAATCACATTAAGACACGACAATTTGAGCTGAATCAATTTGGTTTTCAGGGTTCCAAGTCCACGTGACAGAAGCTCAAAAAAGCTTCAACCCATTTTTCGCACAAAAGTTCGACAGTAAACCGCCATCCCTTGTACCACCTGAACCGACGCAACCAGTCGCAGCCCAGTCGCAGCCCTCTACAATCAATCGGTTGCAACCACGGCCGTTACCCCCATACCAACAAAATCCAACAACAAATCAACGGTCAAATATGCAGCTTCCAGCAAACCAATTTTCCAATAATCAACCGACCCAAAATACCCCAATTGGCAACCAACAACCAACATATAGACCACAGACAAACAACCAACGCCAACCACCAACACAGCAAACACAACCATTTCAACCAAGGATAAACACCCAATATCAACCCAGGACCAACAACCCCGCCCAACCACCTCCCCGACAGCCGCCATATCAGCCAACAGCTAACAACCCTGCCCAACCACCTCCCCGACAGCCACAATATCAGCCAACAGCTAACAACCCCGCGCAACCACCAACTCAGCAACCATATCAACCACCATCTGACAACCGAGTACAACCACCTCCCCGACAGCCGCTATATCAGCCAACAGCAAACAACCCCTCCCAACCACCTCCACGACAGCCGCAATATCAGCAAACAGCTAACAACCCCGCACAACCACCAAATCAGCAACCATACCAACCACCGACTGACAACCGAGTACAACCACCTCCCCGACAGCCGCAATATCAGCCAACAGCTAACAACCCCGCCCAACCACCAATTCAGCAACAACCATATCAACCACCTTCTGACAACCGAGTACAACCACCTCCCCGACAGCCGCTATATCAGCCAACAGCTAACAACCCCGCCCAACCACCAACTCAGCAACAGCCATATCAACCACCGACTGACAATCGAGTACAACCACCTCCCCGACAGCCGCTATATCAGCCAACAGCTAACAACCAAGTTCAACCACCAAACCAGCAACGACCTTATCAGCCACCGGATAACAACCAAGCCCAACCTCCGCCCCGACAGCCGTTATACCAGCCAACGGCTAACAACCATGTTCAACCACCTCCTCGGCAGCCGATATACCAACCAAGGGTCAACAACCAAGTTCAACCGCCAATCCAGCAACAACCATACCAACCACCGGTCCAGCAACAACCATATCAACCGCCAAGCCAACAACAATATCAACCACCGGCTAACAACCAAGTTCAACCACCGGCCCAGCAACAATCATATCAACCGCCGGCTAACAACCAAGTTCAACCACCGGCCCAGCAACAATCATATCAACCGCCGGCTAACAACCAAGTTCAACCACCGGCCCAGCAACAATCATATCAACCACCAGCGCAACCGACACAAGGACCGCAAGTCAGACTACAGTATCCCGATCCCCAATACCAAAACGATGTTTTGTACCAATCTCAACCGTCGCAACCACCTCAACCGTACACACCACCATTCCAGCCAGCACCACCAAGGGTCATATATGAACCGACTCAACCAGAAATCAACAGCACTGGTCCAAATCCGTTTTATCAACAGTTGGATCCCACTAACGTTTTGCAGTCACCTGCATCGGATCCCGTCCAATACGTTCCTAGACCAGACACTGGCTTCGATCCAAGCTACAACCAATTGCAATACCGGTTTAATAACGGAAACTATGGGGCTCAGTCGCCACAAGCTCAACCACAAAATCATCCACAATCGCAAGCATGGCCAGCCACCGGCTATCCATCTGACCAAATCGTTCAACAGCCGGTGGATAACGGTTATCCGGTTAGTGGGGTGCCAACAAACGGTGGACTTCCGGTTAACAATGGACTTCCAGTTACTAATAATGGGCTTCCAGTTAACAATGGACCTCCAGTAAACAGTGGACTTCCGGTTAATAATGTAGTTCCGACAACTAACGAACTTCCGGTAAACAACGGACTTCCGGTTAACAATGACCTACCGACGAACAGTCCAGTCACCAAGCCAATATACTATGGGGAATCAGCTTGGAACCACCCAGCAGTAGTATCTCCTGCCCCAATGCCGAGCACTTATTACGAATCACCAGGCAGTGAACCAAGATACCCCTTCTGGAAGCATCCAAATCCTCATTACGCGGATCCTAGTGCGCCCATTCCGGACAGATATGGTAACTCGAACATCGAGCCTCCAATCCCCAGACAGCCGTACGATGTCATATCTCAACCGTCCACTGCTTGGAATATGCAATCGGCGGCCAGCACAGCTCCCAAAACACATTGGTGGGTAAGTATCAACTTGGTTACATTTTTTGGGAATGGATGAAAGTTGACACTAAGTATAATCTAGAAAACACTGGCTGAGCACGATTTTGCTCATCAACCGGCATATGGTGATCGTGATACCACTTAATCTGATTTTGGGACCGTTTGAACCATTCTTTAGCTTTTAAGGACTGACTTTACTAAGCTGACGCTTCCGTATTTTCCAGGATGCAAAAACAGTTTAAAAGAAGAGATGGTGCTACCACGAAGCTAGCTTGGAAGACGTTTACCATTACCCGAGCTATAGCGGAGGCTTATCAATTGGTGCCATTCCAGTGTGTCAAAGCTTGCTTCAAAACAGGGTTGGCATAAAATCCCAACGGACAAACCGCCTAAACTGGTCTACCGGAAATAAAATATGGCGCGAAAATAAGCATAACTAATATTACGGATTATAAGATTGATGATGAAACGAATCACAGAATATTTTTCAAAAATTCAATAGTTTCGTTTCGTTTTTAGTAATCCGTGATATCAGTAATGCTCATTTTCGCGCCATATTTTACTTCCGGTTAACCGATTTGGGTTGGAGGTCAGTTGGGATTTCAGAGAGGACACTCATAGCTCTATATGGGTCAAAAACGATGACTTTCTATGGTAAACTAGTGAAAAAAAAAATTAACAGTGTAACCCCAAATCAAAATACTAAAAATGGAGTCGCACAGCACAAAATGGTATACAAAAAAGACAAAATTTTCGTTTTTATTCCAAAATTTGTGAAAAGTGCGACTTGCCTTAAAAGATTCAATTTATTCTTCAAATTCTGACAATCATTGCAAATTTATCGGTGACCGTGTTCCGGAAACTAAATTTCATAGACGTCTTTCGTCATTTTTAATTTCACCGGTGACACTTTCAAAGGCGATACCCGTTTTTTTGTACATAAATTTCACAGGTATTCGTTCTTGTTATAATTTTGTATATAGCTGTATTTGTGTATTAGATTTATTAAAACAGAACCTGAAACATGTTTAAAATCGCACAGCGTGAGTAGCAACATGTTTCAGGTTCTGCTTTAATATTTCTATATCGCTCTTTAATTGATGTGTTCAGTACTTCTTAAACAGTGAAAATATTGATATTATATTTGTATATAATAGTGGTTTGTATATGACGTATGACGTCATATATATGTATTTGTGTAATTGTATAACGGTATATCTGTTGGTTAGAACGAGGTTCACGCTGCAGACACGTATTTTGGATACACAGTCCTCGTCATGGCAGCTAGTTTTTGAAAATCGGGGCTATTTTTTTTTAATATTGTACTTTAAGATTATGAACAAATAAAACGAACTCACTGAACAAGAGAGAGAAATCGATGGGAATATTATACAGTTATCTGAGACTAGAGATCATTTTATGCTGCCAACATGTGTTTCAGATAAACAACCTTTTTCAGGAATTCCAGTATTTGAAATAGGTGAGGGAGCGGAGATGCTAGAACACACACCACCCCCCTTTTCACCAATATTTCATTATTCTTTTCAGCCTCGGACACCAAGACTTCTCCTGCCTGCGACAAAATGGGACTGGATGATAGAGGCCGTGTTTTTTTTCCATTTGTCACGCCTGATTGACGCTTGTTTGACATTTTATGACACTTTGTTTGACACTTTACGACACTTTGTTTGACGTTTCAGGATTGACAGTTATTTACAAAATATCTAATGTTAGACAGATTTCTATTTTTTGACATCCTCGTTTCTTTCTCCTAAAAACCTCACTTAAAGGGACCATTGCGCCACATTTCTTATCAATCGCACCCTAGTCTCAGAAACGGGAATTTTTTAGCTAAGCCAATCAGTAATAGTGTTCACAGCTCACTGTCGAAATTTGAGCCTTCAAATCCATGTGTGTCCAGAATTATCCACGTTTGCTCAGGATATACACTAATACATTGGGGCTGCATTTCTTATACTCCGAAACATCCACCATTTTGGAAAGTGGTGTCTTCGTTTAGCCAACTCCAATTGTATCATATTCGGATAATTTGCCTGTGTGTTGCTCAAGAAAATGTGCATGCATGTATGCGTATTAAATTGGATAATAAATGCTTTTACCTGTTAAAATTCGTTTTCTATTCTGTCATTCCCTCGTTTTTCGCTCATGCACGTGCATCAGAGTTCAGTCCATGTAGAAGATAGTCCGAAATTCTCCGTTAAAAATCTGTTACATTTTGTGTTATACATTTCGTTTCAGCACGAGCATCCATCAGTCAGTTATTTCTACTCTTGATCGCCTAAACAGCTCAGTCGCCATTTTTCATTCATTTTACGATGTTTACAGTTTAAGGTCACGCACGTGCATTCTTGACACGCATAATCCGAAACCGTCGACATGTTTTATTGTTTTCTGAAAGTTAATCCGAAAAATTCTTACACAAGTATATTTGCTATGAAAGATTGTTTGTATTCAATTGACGCTCGGATTGGGTTAACGATTGAAAACGAGCAACACCCTACCATGAGCTATGAGGGAAATTTTATTCAGACGGCAATTTAAAGCAAATGTATTAATTTATTTCGTTTCATTTAAAAAAAATATTTGCAATAAATAGTTGTCCTGTCCAATGGTATTCCTCAAAATTACTTTAATTCAAAATATACTCCCTTGTTTCCTCGATCGTCAGAGACCCCCCCCCCCAGTTGGACCCGCCCGACCACCTCGTCCAACGTCATTCCTATACTGCTGATCGAAGTAATCTGAAAAATAGACGAATAACATGGAGTTTACGTTCCATTTTTCATAATAGTTTAGCTCACGAAGTTTGGTGACACCCACATCCAAAGGAAAGGCGTATTAACCAGTGGATCGATTAGCTACATGTATTGACAATTCTGATGCAGACGCTTGCGATGAGTCAGTAGGGCAAGGGCCACCAGCTGGTCCCCCTGGTCTCCCTGACCCCCCTGGTCCCCCTGGTCCACGTAAAAACAGATGTAAAGGTATTCACCTGGCTTGCCTCTGTAATCATCGTAATACGGCGACCCTTCTCGAGAATCATACTCACTGAAAGTATAAAAGAACCCATTACTGAACCAGTCTATAGTCTCAAAGGGAAGCATCTGCAACTCTCGGTAGCTCTCGGTACCTCTCGGTAGTTTCCGTAAAGAAAACTAACCAACGTAACCAACACCTAACCTGTGACCAAAAACGATGGCATAACGTTTGACCCAAACGAAAGCATTACCCCTGACAACGAACGCATTACCTCTGACAAAACGACGCATTACCTCTGACAACGAACGCATTACGTCTGACAAAACGACGCATTACCTCTGACAACGAACGCAATACGTCTGATAAAACGAACACATTACGTCTAACAAAACGAACGCATTACGTCTAAACAAAACGAACGCATTACGTCTAAACAAAACGAACGCATTACGTCTAAACAAAACGAACGCATTACGTTTGACCAAATCCAACGCATTACGTTTGCAAAACATTTTAAAAATGATCGGACGTTAACTTACTAGTCATCGCTTGGGTCTGGATTACCAGCACTACTGTAAACAATAATGACAAAATAAAAAAAAATTAACTGTTCATAAGGGGATAACATATTTGAAAATTGGAAAAGGGGGGGGGGGTCATCGAATGCCAAATATGGACAATGGTGGAAAAGCTAACCGGTGGTTGAACCAATATCATGGACCAAACCCCCAGAAAAAAATACAGGACTGTCGTCTATTATAGGTCGCAACAATGTATAGAGCCTGTAAGTGACAGTAGTCTTTACCATTTAATTGATTTGCTTCAAAACCTCACGTTGAATTCTAATTGTGAAAAGTGATACATATGGCTGAAATGGAGCTCCATCTGCTGGTAAAGAATCATAACTTACTTTGGGAAACAGCAGTATCCAAGTGTTGAGAGTCGAGCACACAAAAACATTCCTATAATGGCGGCAAGCAAGATGGCCACTACGAACGCCGTAAATAACGCAACGTTCTCGGAGTGAGCAAAGAAGTTGTATTCCGTAGTCGTAGTCGGTTTCGTAGTGGTCGTTGTTGGTGTTGGTGTCGTAGATCGAGTGGTGGTAGTCGGTGGTTGTGTGGTCGTAGTTGCTAAGAATGATACAACAACGGTTCCGGTTGAGGACCGTCTAGGACTACCTCTATCAGTGGCTAAGATCGTCATGAAGGCACTGGTTCCTGCAATTCTGTCGTCATAGTTTCTTGCATACTGAATTTCTCCATTTCCTGCAAATAGTTCCAATAGTCTCCAAAATTTCTGTTACGGACATGTGCAATGAGGCAAACATTGCCGACAGAGCATCATGATTATTTTTCAGAGTTTTACGCCTTTCTCTTTTGTACCTAGTGGACAACGCCATGCAGTGTGCAACGAGGACAGAAGCATTAGCCTACTCTTTTTCGATTTCCAGCTGTCAAGGGAACGTTAACAAATGAAATGAAATGAATGGAATTTTACGCCCTACGTTTCTGCACCCGGTGTTTTAATGAAGACTGGCAGCACCAAGCAGTTTGCAACGAGGGAAATTAGTCGTCTCTTTTTCGATTTTCAACTGTCGAGTAATCTTTAACGTGCACAGCCTGTAGCACACGGGGCCTCAGTTTATTGTCCCATCCGAACGACTAGACGCTTTTTCCATGTCAACCCCTCTTACCTGCATTACCTGCAACCGTCAGAGGCCCAAGTACAATAGGAACTGGTTGAACCAAGTCCACGGACCCCTACCCCTAGGGACGCCCCACCCCCTAGAAAAAATGGGTACCTACCTAAAGCGAAGGTATAGGTAAGATAATTGGGGGGATTAATGCCCATCATTTTATAGTCAATCTGACCATTAGAACCTTTATCTTTGTCTGTAGCCTTTACAGATCCCACTATTCCTATAAAATAAATCGGCAAGTTACAATCTGTAGGTCTTGCATGATCTAATGAAATTGTTATGCAAGTTATGTTCTAGGTCATTGAAATATTCCACCAATCAAGCTTCTGTTCACAATCTGATACAATTACAGATCTAGTTTTTTCGTTTCGTGATTTTTGTCGGTGAATCATTGGTCAGTCATGATCTGATGAAATTGTTATGCAAGTCATGTTCTAGGTCATTGAAATATACCACCAATCAAGCTTCTGTTCACAATCTGATACAATTACAGATCTAATTTTTCGTTTCGTGAGTTTTCTGTTGGTGAATCCACTTGTCAACCACGATCTGATGAAATTGTAAAGCAAGATATGTTCTAGGTCATTGAAATGTTCCACCAATCAAATGCTTGGTTCAAAACCTGCTGATATAAGTACAGATTTGAATGTGACTCCATTTGCCATGCATGGTCTGACAACATTGCTTCACACCAAGTGTTCCAGGTTACATCCAATCAAGACTCACTATCTGGTACACAGAACCTTTGTAATCAAAGTAGTAAGACCCCCGTGCCCTATATGCCCTTTGTCCTGTGACGGCTTCCGGTGGTCTGTCAGTCCGTCCCTGAAGAGGTAAGATAACAAGCTTACCAAGCTTCGTATTATAATCCACAGTAATAGCTTGAAGAACTTCACTGAAGATTGGAGCATTGTCATTTTCATCAGCGATGTTGATGGCCACTTTGGCCGTTCCCGTAGCCCCAATCGAATCCACTGCTGCCAGGGTTAAGATAGCATTCGATGGCAATTGGGCATCGTCCACGTCGTAATCGATATTAAATGTTAGACGCATCCTGTCCGTATTCAAGAGTCCGAATCTATTGGAGTTGTTTCCGGGAAGAAAATCCAAGCTGTAAGCATTGTTCTCCGGATCTCGGATGGTGACGCTGAGATCGCACAAGGATCCTCCAGCCTGAAATAAGATGAAACGTCAGTTATTCACAAGTTCATGGATACGGATCGGAGCTCATCGTTAGCAGAACAGAAACTGGTCCATGTATTCCTGGTCCATGATGGATATTAATAACTCCATGTTCCCGTATGTGCTCCATGACGGTCTATGCACACACTCACACAGGCGTGTTTCTCTCTAGGGCGGAGGTCTGCCAGAGGCCCCAAGAATCCAACGGATTTCAGATGGCCTGAGATTTTGGGCATTAACCAGGCCAAATTTTCAGGCCAAATTGCCGCATTTTATAAATGAAGATACTAACCGACGCCTCCTTTAGCTGACAGTAGTAGATGTTCTCGTTGAAGACTGGCGGTTCGTTGACGTCGGATATGTTGACGAGGATGTTCTCGTTCTGGGAGGTCAGGAAGCCGTCGGTGACGGTACAAGATATGTTGTAAAATCTCGTCGTTTCAAAATCAAAAATCGTTTGCTCCGGATTAAAACCAGTCAATTTAATCACGTTCCCTGAAAGGAAGGACAGAATCCAATGGAACGTGGAGGTCTTGCTCTCACTTCGTGTACTGGACCAAGATTCGATATGCAGAAACGACTTTGCGTCTTTTGTTTCTATGTATATCGGGGACACTGATAGCATCAATTTGCACCATTAAGTTTTCAATGACACGCCTGTGGGTCTTGCAATTATGACGTCACATTGAATAGAATCCACTTACCCATTTGGACAAACTTATTTTGATCAGCCTGTGGGGTGACGGTACAGATGGGAGTCAGGGAATCCTGCGAGTTAAAGATGTCGGGGTCGTTGATGGTGAGCGTACTGACAATGAAACCACCCACAGCGTCCTCTCGCAGATGAACCGTCGTTGGTAGATTAGTGATATCTGGACGAGTATTCAGATCTGAAAATTGTAAATTGGAAATATAACCCCTGTGTTGACCAGCGGTCCTGGTGTTGGATTTTATATCCGGAACATGTAAGGATAGTATAAGGTGAGCTCAAAAGCTTGTTAAAAACGTTACTCTGGATGGGTATAATCCAAAGACGATGAAGACGCTGAAGATGCTGAAGACGCAAGACTATTGCGGAATCTCTTTTGATGATGTGGATTAGATGTTACATAAGTACTCTGATGGTTCATCTCAAATCCGAGATACTTGCATGGTTTCCCTTTTTGTTCAAAGCTTGTTTAGCTCTTAGCTAGACACAAATGCTCTGTCCGTCCATAAAAAGTTGGTAGCTTGCTCTTACCTAGCGCCTGGTCGTCCATTTTGGACAGCTATGGAAGATCCTTCGCCTGAAATGACTTACCAGGACCAGATGGGACTACACTTTGAAGAAGAAAAGCGGAAGTACTCACTCTCCAGTCGAGCTGTGACAGTAAAGGGACCAACAGTAGAATAGCCATCAGAAACATTGACCCGGATGTAGATCACTGGCTCCGTAGCAACTCTGAGGTCAACGGTTGTTCGGATTTCACCATTATCTGCAAAAATAGATTTTTCTTGGCCAATCTTACCTCAATTTCAGAAATGGGGAATTGCTTTGCTAAGCCAATCAGTAATAGTGTTCACAGCACACCACCGAAATTTGAGCCTTCAAATCCATGTGTGTCCAGAATTATCCGCGGATGACAGTTTAAATGACGACTCGTCTTTTCTTGAGATACTGCCACATAAAATTTCTACTCTGAGGTACTTCTGAAGGCTATTTACAAATATTCGCGTACCAAATCAACCCCAAAATGGCGAATGTGTCCCTTCATAGTGATCTCTGCTCATTCGTATAGAATTGGACCCCCAAAATACACAAAATGTTGCTTACTTGGGTCTAAATTGAAGTAGTCGACAGCAGGTTCGGTAGCTAGAGAGTAGGTGAGGAAGTCGTTTTCTGGATCTTGGACAGTCAGCTTGTAGACCAGGGTGTTCATCGGAGTCGCTTTAGCATCAAACGTTCTGTCCACTACAAATAAAATGGAAGGATGGATGGATGATTGGATGGTTAGATGGATTGATCGATGGATGGATGGATGGTTGGATAGTTGAATGGTTGGATGGGTTGATCGATGGGTGGATAGTTGAATGGATGGATGGTTGAATGGAAGGATGGTTGGATGGATGGTTGAATGGATGGTTGAATGGATGGTTGGATGGATGGGTGGTTGAATGGATGGTTGGATGGATGGATGGGTGGTTGAATGGATGGATGGATAGATGGTTGGTTGAATGGATGGTTGGATGGATGGATGGGTGGTTGAATGGATGGATGGATGGATGGTGGTTGAATGGATGGTTGGATGGATGGTTGGTTGAATGGATGGTTGGATGGATGGGTGGTTGGATGGATGGATAGTTGAATGGATATGGTTGGATGGTTGGATAGTTGAATGGATAGATGGATGGATGGTTGAATGGTTGAATGGTTGAATGGATGGATGGTTGGATGGTTGAATGGTTGAATGGTTGAATGGATGGATGGTTGGATGGATGGATGGGCGGATTAGTGAACGGATCAATGAATAAATAAAAAATCAATGAATGAAACATACCTCCAGGGGCTTCAAAAATAGTAGGTGAGAGATTTGGAGTCAAATATACCAATAAATCCCGGAGGATGGGGGTTGTGAAACCATCTGTGGAGTTAGTACAACCAACTGTTACTCTACAGGATGTTCCCACAGCGGCTTGAAGATTAAATAAGCTTGCTGCATTGTAGATCACCATCCAATCTAAAAATAAAAAATGTCTGAAATCTCAAAAAGATCACAAAAGATTTTCTCATTCTGACATTAGCGGTTCTTGAAATCCCCGAAAATTCAAAAACCTCCCTCTCACTCTTTTACTGCGGTCTTTTGGAAGAATTCTACTTACCGCCAACGGTGTTGACAAGAAGTGTGTTTGCGTCACGGACGACCACAAAAAGGGCACCATTGGACCCCAGAACATTTCCGTTGTCGCACCTTATTTGCGATATACCACAGTAATATGTCTCTGCTAATACGTCACTTCCGGTCGCGTTTGAACACTTTATGGACGATAACGGTGTATTGACCCTTTGCGTTACGGCCAGTCCGGCACTGTTTGGTAGAAGCTGTAAATTGACACACTGTAAAGAAAAAGAAAATCTCTATGAAACAGGGCCTATTTTTTCTGTCTCTACACCAGCCGACAACACTGCCAAAATATCTATCAGATACCCGAATAGAAGTAGACGTTTCGGACTAATTATGAAGCAAGAATGAAAAAAAACCCAGAAAATGACGTCAAACGGTCTAACCATATATTCTACAGCCCATCGTGTGATATGGGCCTACGGTATCAAGGGTCACATTCGTCTGACTGACTCGAACACCCTTCATTAATCAAAATGGTGGAATATACCTGTACAATCTTACCTGTGAATACGACTCTCTGATTAAAGCCACTATAAAGACTAGCGATGCCACTTTCAATTGCATCCTGGAAGTTGCAGGAATTCCGGAATTGTTCTTGGAATTACATCGCGGATTCCAGTATTCAAAATATATCGACCACACTTTCTTGTTTTTTTCTCTGAAAACAGTAGTTAAAATAAAAAATTACATCAGTAGGAACGCAGGCTGAAAATAGATCGCTGAAGATCGCAATGCGTGAAACTCTGAGTAACAACATGTTTCAGATTCTGTTTTAATATTTCTAAATGAAAAATTAAATGAAATGTCCCCAAGTTATGAGGGGGTCAACGACATTCAGTGTGCGATGAGGGAAATTTCGCCTCTCATTCTTAAAACATGTTCTCTCTCATTATATCTAATTGCTCTTGATATTTTGTTTCGTTTATTTTCGATGGGTCGTTTCACTAATTCTTCATCCGAAACAACATCAAATTTGAATGATAGGTAGGTCTACTTTAAATTACAAATCTCAGCATAAGCTATGTGGACTCTCAAAAGTTACTTGTGGGAACATTACACTGTGTGATCATGGGTCTGAAGTCGAAAATGACTCGAAACCCTTAAGAAATCTCGATGTACATAACAATCAAAAGAAAATTGGACAGTTATACGTCTAAATTTCCTTGCTAAACATGTACAGAAGCGGGAAAAAAGGGGGTGGGGGTGGAGTGTATCCCTTTTTAATTTCATAATTAAAAAATATAATTTACTTACAATTAAATTACGTAGAATCTTCGTTATTTTGTTTATAAAATTTTATCCGATTTGTATATTTTCAATTCCAAATATATCCATTGATATTAACACCAAGGTGGTGTGAGCCATTTATAATGCACTTCATCATATAAGTGGTATGATAATGGTATATGCCGCCCTGAATATATCACTACCAAGACAAAGGTATATATACATTGTAAGAATAAATGGCGTCTGTTGTATTAAAGGTATTGTTCCCTTTATTCTATGCACAATGCTGTTTTGGTAACTAAGCTTTAGGAATGCAGGGAAGGGGACATAACTCGTATGTCTTTTTCATTGAAGCCAACTGAAATGAAATGGAATTTAAAGTCCTACTGTTCTGTATCTTATTGAACTAATGAAATGGGCTTTAATGTACTACTGTTCTGTATCCTTTTGGACAAATCAGTGGCCTATCTAGAAAATGTCTGAGAAGGTGAGACTCCAAGGTTCTAGGGACTGCTTGAGGCCTCCCACCGCACCCAACAAAAAAAGCCAACGGATTTCAGGTGGTCTGAGATGAATTAAGATGACTTAGTGGGCTTAATTTTCACTTCAAAATAAGACCTTTCACTTGGACATGGCCCATTGCCCCCTCCCCCCCCCCCCCCCCCACACACACACACACACACACGCACGCTACAGGGACAAACAAATGAAATAAAACAGAAATTTTACGCCCTTCAGACCTAGCATCCTTGTAAAAGTTTCAACACAATCCAATGCCAGAGTCGTATGTAGAGAAAGTATTTGTGGTCGTAGTCCACCTAAAGTAAGTGGAGTTCTTTCCCTTGGACCATAATTTTGATGAGCGATGTCTTTTAAATGGAGACTTCAGTAAAGGCGGGAAATACGAGTCTAGCCTGGAAACCTGTAAACAATATGGCTGCCGATTTGCCTGAAGTGGCCGAAATTTAATTTGTTTTTGCATTTTACTCGGCCCCTAGAACATTGAATTGAAAATCAAGTGGGTATGCCTGATGTGGACTTGTTAATGACAAATTCTGATGAGCACAATGCTATAAGTCCCCGGATTAAGTTCGCTAAACGTGAATTTTAGAAGTGACGTGCGGCTAAAAACAAAGTCACTTCTACTTTCAATTTGTTTTTGACTTATTTGAAGTTTTCAATGAATATCTACATCTATCCTATTGAATTTCGGGGAATGGAGGGTTTGATTCTCCCTTATGTACAGGCCGAGGATGGTTTTCCCCCTGTCTAAATGAAAAATGCCTCTATCCTTTAGGCCTACTAAACTAAATGTAAGCAATGTTCTGTGTGCTAGGCCTACAGACTGTGCATTTTCTTTAAAGATCTCTCAACAGTTAGACTTAGAGAAGGCTAATGCTGCTGTCCTTACAAAGTTTCCCTCATAGCACACTGCATGGTGTTACCCACAATCAAAAGCTCAATAGTAGAATGTATAAGCTTAACAGTTTAATGTCATTACTTGGAAATCTAACAGGGGTAAACTAATGCTGCAGTCCTAACAAAATTTCCCTCATTGCAAACTGCATGGCATTTGACTTCATTCAGCCAGGCCTAGTCCACGGGATAGTAAAAATTTGATTTGATTTCATTTCATTTTAAGCCCAGCCCATCCCTGAAGAATTGACCAACAACAAGCAGTGAAACCAGCTTAAACCTTGACTTTACTATTACCATTACTGGCACTATCCTGAAAGTCTTGGACTTCTAACGGAACCATGGACGATCTCAACCAAGGCAAGAAAGGCATCAGTGACAATGAGGTAGAAGATTTTCTCTGTGAAATGAAACAGCCATCTCTGTTTGACAACACTAAGTTTTATAGACTCCGCAGTAGATTGGTTGAACTCGTAGAAGAAATCAAATTAAAAAGAGTAAGTATCAGGGATGGTGATTCATATATTTTTTTGCCAGTCATGTCTGGACCCTTCTAAGCTCAGTAGGGCAAGAAAAACTCAGCAAGTCATATATTTTTTTTACCAGTCATGCCCGGCTTAAGTTTGTGTTAGTAGAACACAAAATCCTCATTTTCATTCAGAAAGAAGGAAATAAATCAAATTAAATTAAGGACAATATTCAAGAACTTGCCAGTCACGTCTAAAAAGAGCTGCAAGATTGCTGGTATTAACTTTTTATCTTAGGTCTTGATACATTTTTCAGGTAACAGAAAGAGAAAATGAAGAAAAAATCCGACATTTAGTACATGAGAAACACGAACTCGAGAGAAAACAGGTCCGTATGACATTTTAAGCTCAAACTCAGCTGTCTGTAACACTTTTCAAAATGAAATACAATGTATAGTTTGACTACGATTAAATAAATAAATAGTAACTGTTTATTGATTGCATATTCCAAAGCAAAACCAAATTAGAATAATGCCTCCATTTTCAGGAATCGAAGCAAGAAGAAATGCTGAACCTCTCAGACGACCATGATCATAAATTACAGGAACAAAAGCGTCACCTTGACGACCAGATTCACTCGCTGAAAGAACAAGTGGTAAGTGGCATCAGGAGCACAACCCTCCAAAAGGACCCCTGTCTACGAGCTGGTACTTGGCCAAACCTCTTAGCATTGATCTTTCCCAGATTATCTGTACCCATTTACAGCTGGGTTGACTGGAATAATGAGGATCCTTTCCACCAGCTGGTCCTTGACCAAACCTCTTGGTATTGATCTATCCTGGATTATCTGTACCCATTTACAGCTGGGTTGACTGGAATAATGAGGATCCTTTCTACCAGCTGGTCCTTGGCCAAACCTCTTGACATTGATCTTTTCTGGATTATCCCTACCCATAAAAAATTCCCATTGCTGAGACTAAAGTATGATTGGTCAAAAAAAATGAAGCATCTGTCCCTTTTAATTTCATCCACAGAAAAAGTTACAAGTCCATAGAGAAGTTCATGACAAAGAAGCCAAAAGTTTAAAAGATGACATTCGAAGTTTACAGGTAAGCAAGTTATGCCAGCAAGGGTTCTGAGTTGGTTAGGACATCCGTAAGATCAGAATCTGTCCTGATGAGGATTGTGTATCTAAAACACAAGGTTTCAATGATTTGATTGAACAGACCATTTGATTGGTGGAATATTTTATGACCTAGAACATGAGAGGCAAAATAAAGTTGTTAGATCATAGATGGCCAGTGTAGTGACTCATGAAATGAAATCTTTAAAAAATTTTTTGTTCATATGGGTTCGTTATGTTTTTTTTATTAACTTTTATTTTTATATAGCTACTTCAGTTAGGGTCTAACGACAGCCCTCAAATTAAGCTTTTGACCTTATTCGATGACCTCTGCTTTAACCAATCAAATTTCTACCCCCCTCCAGTGCTGGCGTTTTGTGACGCAGTGTTTATCAGTTTAGGTCAAAAGGTTCAAAAGGGCTGTCATTAGACCCAAACTGAAGTCGATATATTAAAAATAAAAGCTAACAAAAAAAACGAAATGAAAGTTTGGTCTAATTTTAATCAGACTGTCCTGATGAGGATTGTTTATGTGAAACACTCGGCAGCATGAGATGAGCTCTAGTCAATTTGTTTTCAGTGGACTAAGTATAATTTGGAAAAGAAACTAAGAGAACAGGAACATATGTTATCAGCCCATCACATGTCAACCGACCAACATCGTAACGAGATGTCCACCATTGAGAAAAAAATGGCGGGAATGATGGCACATTATCAACATCTAGCAGACACACTGAAACGTCTGGAACTTAATGGTGAGTGAGGCATCTTCTAGAAAGGACAGGAGGAAGAAAGGGGGACGGGGGAGGGGGTTGTAGGTATGTCTAGCTTGGTTGAAGTTGGGTTAAAAAGAAAATGGCCGACATCTTCAACATCTAGCAGTCACACTGAAACCTCTGGAACTTAATTGTGAGTGAAGCATTGGCTAAAAGGAGAGGGCGGGTGGGTGTTTTATGTCTAGCTTGGTTGAAGTCGGGTTAAAAAGAAAATAGGTTGTAGCCTGGTTGAAATCGTTGCAAAGAAAATGGCCGACATCATCAACATCTAGCAGACACACTGAAACCTATGGAACTTAATGGTAGGGCGGGTGGGTGTTTTATGTCTAGCTTGGTTGAAGTCGGGTTAAAAAGATAATGGGTTGTAGCCTGGTTGAAATCGTTGCAAAGAAAATGGCAGACATCATCAACATCTAGCAGAGCATCTAGTGAGCATCTGCTAAACAGGGAGAGGTGGTGGGGGGGGGGTCGCATTGTTTTGGTTGTAGGTATGTCTAGCCTGGTTGAAATTGCGTTCAAAACAAAATGGCCGACATCATCAACATCTAGCAGACACACAAGAACAACCAACACTTAAAGGGATTGTAAAAAGGTTTTCTAAATTTTTCATGTGTATCAGGGACACTGATAGCATCAATTTACACCATTCCAATTTTCAATCAGACGTCTGTGGTTCCTGCAAATCCACTAAAACTAAGTGTTTGATGACATCACTAATCCCAAAGGGGCTTATGTGATATTTACCATGGTCATGAGGGTTTAAACTCTAAAAAATAATTCGACATTTGAAATATTATTTTGATATCACAGTTAGATTTTTACAATAAATTAAATTTGAACTAAATTTGGACAAAGAAATTCAAAATAAAATACGTCTCTTGAAAAACAAATGTGCAGTGAAAAAAGCGAAGGAATCCGGGGCTTAATTTACAGCTTCCTTATCAATTTTCAGATTAAAAATCAGGTTCATCTGCAATCTAATTAAAAAATGCTTTAACTTCTGAAAGGGATAATAGCTTCATTTTATAGACCTTTATGATTACTTGTCTAAGACATCCAGACTCTTATCTAATATTTTCTTATTTAATTGTAAAAGAACAGAGTTTCAGAATGTCATTCTGAAAAATGTTACATAAAGCTCAAATTAAGCTCTATCACTTCAACAATTTCGACAACTCAGTCTTTTAAGTTCCAAGATTTGGCGCCAGATTAGTGAGAAAGTGTAAGTTTTCGATTCTGAGTTCTCAATTCCTGATTTTCCTTCCAGAATTTATTCCTTTCCTTGGTCAGTGCTTTTTTATCCCTCTGCACCAAGTCGTAGTTGGATTCCAGCTTGAGTAAATTTCCGCGTATTAACCCCTTCTCATTCTCTAATCTTCGATTGGCTGTTTTTAACTCCACAAGCTGAAAAACAAAGATGGCCGCTTAAATTTTGAAACTTTTTCTTGCTTCAATGATATGTTTTCATTTCGATATCTTTTGAAACTGTTTACATCCAACTTTTCTGCCCTTGATTAGGACTCTGAAGACAGGTAATGCCTAAAGTGTGTAATAGGGGAAATTTCTATGCCATTGGCAAGTGAGGCATCTAGAAATTAGGAATCGATTCTGGCCAAAGTTGTCAACAAACTTAACCCTGAGTCTAAGACAAAATTGATTTTAAATTCAGTTTTTAACCAATCAGATTACTGCAATTACTTTTGTGCAAAAGTAAATTTCAAAATGGCTGCCTACCTCATGTTCTAGTCTTTGTATCTTGTGTGTCATTTTTTTGTCCGGCTCAGCCAAGCGTTTGATTTCCCTGTCCAAATTGTCGGTTTCCTGATTCAGACGGATGTTTTCGTCTGTAAGTTTGTTGCATTCGTCAGTTAGGACGTTGTTGACCTCTTTGACCCGAATAAATTTCTTCTCAAACTTCTCCCTTTCTTCTTCAGTTTCTTTCAGCCTTTCTTTCAATTCCTTCTCATTGGCCTTGACCTTTGTGTAGTCTTCTGCCATGGTGGTCCATTCAGCTGTAAAAAATGAACGGAAAAATGAATTGAATGGAGTTTTACGTCCTACTTTTCTGTACCATGTGGGCTAATGAAGATGGGCAACGCCATTCAGAATGCAATGAGGAACATTTTGTCAGGACAGTGAAATTAGCCTACTCTTTTTCGATTTCCAACTGTCGAGGGATCTTAAACATGCACAGCCTGTAGTACACGGGGCCTTGGTTTATTGTCCCATGTGAACGACTAGACGCTTTTTCCAAGTCAGTCCCTCTCACCTGCATCACTGACAGGGGAAAACCGGGTTGAAAAATCTCAAGGTAATATCTCGACCTATGCCAGGATTGAACCCTGGACCTTCACACCAAAAATGCCCACCCTAACACACGAATATGAGGATGTAAAAAGCTTGCCTCCGGCATCACAAAACTTACCTTTAATGCGTTTGATCTCTTTATCGAGGTTTGAATTTTGTTGAGTGATGTTGGCAGCTTTGTGTGACGTCTCCTTCTCCTTGTCTACGCTGACAGTCAGGTCTTTACTCAATCCCTTGAATTTATCATACAGGACGTCGTAGTCCGTCTGTAGCTCCTGTACTTCCTGCTGTATTATCTGAGGTATGGATCGGATACGACTGGATCCCTCATCCACTTGGGAATGCGTCGTCAAGATACTGCTGTAGCAGGCTTCTAAATCTCCTATGAAAAAGGAAGAAAAAGTCAACCAGGAAAATGTTGCCCATGTCAAAGTTCACTTCCTTAGCAACCATGCATTGTAGACTTGATCGGTTAAGTAGTATTTTTAACAGACAGTGGTTTTTGAGTTTTAAATCCTTCTTTATCCAGTACATGACGTGTGCAATGAGGGAAATTTTTAGAGGACCCCTGGATAACCCGATCTCAATTACCAGTCATCAAAGAACCTTCAAAGTGTGTGCATATGAACAACTACACGTTTTAGCTCATGGACTATAACTGGGGTGTGTTTAGTATGAGTAGAATTTTCATTTTGATAAGTGATACAGGTATTGAAATTGTGCTCCATCAGCTGGCAATAATATTCCTATAAATACAGAAATGTCACTCATTGTGATTGACATATTAAGCCCCGCCTTTTGCATGTGCAGAATCTTGAAATGTACTGACCTTGCAACTGTTTGATCATGCTAGTGACCTTTTTGACAAGATCTTCAACATCCCCACTGTAAGGGTTCAGATTGGTATAACCTTTTGACCTATATAACATGGGGTCAAGGCTGTTGGAGACAATTCTTCGTAGATGGCGCTCAAGTCCGTTCTCTCGAATCGTGTAATTTTCTTCATCAGTGTTGTACGACTGTGAAATTCTCGCTGCTATTTTTTTAATCTTGGTTTCTGTGACACGGTTATTTCGAAGTTCTGTTTCTATTTTCTCTCTTTTAAGAATGTCTTTTGCTGAAAAATAAAGTCGTACATGCTTAAAGATGGGTTTCCTTATTTTTTTTGTGTCAAATTAAGCAAACTATTTAATTAATTGGTGTTTCTAATGAATTATCATGTATTCTTAATCATATCATTATGTTCTTATTACATATAATTAAGAGTTTTAACCAATCATAAATGTCCATGTATGTACAGTCTGGATAAACAAAAAAATTCTTTTTGATCTTTCTTCATTCTGCTGATAATTCTCTTCTAATTTAGCTAATTATGAATTAATTATAGACATGTGAGACAAACTGGTATTTTTCCAAGTCATAAGAACACCTCTACTTTCTATTCATATAAGTATTAGCATTTTCATTTTCATAAATAAAAATAAGGGAACCCATCTTTAAGTAAATCACAAGGAGAAAATGGATCTAATTGGTGGATATGTCTCTCTGCACATATCTATTTAATTGCATGGGAACTAGATGTCAGACTTGAATTCTGAAAAGTGGAATGGATAGCAGAGATTGAGTGCCATTAAAGGGTCTATTTCAAATCTACCCCTTGAATGCAGACGGATAGAAAAAGTAAGATGTCACCAACCTTTTGGCGAGGAAGAAGAAAAGTCATAGCTATCTTCACTTTCTTCATAATATCCATTATAATATCCAGATTGTCTCCCTTCATAGTTTCCATGGTTACCATTTCCGCCATTTTGAGTTTCTGTTGATGGACGATTAGCTCTTGGTATCCTACTTCTGCCTTTTGATTGGTCGTCATTTTGATTTTGAGTCATTCGCGAGTTGTGTTCGCCTTTCGGTCTATAATCGTTACTGTCAACGCTGTTTGGCTGTTGCCGGACGGGACTATGATGGGAATTCTGGGATGTGGTTTTAGAGTTGGATGGACTTTTGTCTTTCCTTGACAACGATTGGCTGCCTTGAAGCGATTCTTTTTGTTGATCCATTATGGTTTTGCGCTTTGGTTTTCCATAATTTCTTTTCGGTTTATAGTCCAAATTTCTAAAAAATAAATTTGTTGTTGAAAATGAAACAATTCCGAGAGACTTGTGAAATTCCATGACTTATTTGACAATTACTTAAACTGTAACTATGGCAACTTGTTGCAGTCATGGCGGCAATGTTTTTACTAAATTGAAAGTATTAAAGGGATTGTAAAGAGTTTTTCTAAATTTTTTATGTATATCAGGGACACTGATATCATCAATTTGCATCATTCCAATTTCCCAACACTTAGTTTTAGTGAAATTGCAGGAACCACAGACGTCTGATTGAAAATTGGAATGGTAAATAGATGCTATCAGTGTCCCTGATACACATTAAAAATTTAAAAATCCTCTTTACAATGCCTTTAAGTGTAATCTGTAGAAACTTACTCTTTATAGAGTTCTATTCTTCGTAGATTTCGATAATAATTCCTTTGTCTGAAAAAAAAAAAACAATTTTATTCAGATCACCAAAGTATTTAGAAATTCCAAAATGGTTTCTAAGAATTGCTTGGTTCCAAAAGCTGTCCTAGCAACTCAAAACGTAACATTTTTGATCAAATGGAAATTTGGACCCAAAGAGTTTCAAGAAAAGACGAGTCATCATTTTAACATTCAAACGCGGATAATTCTGAACACACATGGATTTGAAGGCTCAAATTTCGACAGTGAACTGTGAACACTATTACTGATTGGCTTAGCTAAAAATTCCAGTTTCTGAGACTAAGGTATGATTGGTCAAAAAATGGCGCACTAGTCCCTTGAAGTAAAATGGAAATTTTATTTGCACCAAAACTTAATTTTGAATTTCCAAGATGGCTACCATTACCGAATAATTTTCTCAAATAGAAATTTTAGGAAGTCCACGTGGATTTTTACACTAACTAAAATCCTTGAAAACAATTTCCAAAATGGCTACCTAACTCCAAAAACCGTCACAGAAAAGATTTCATAAAATAGAATTTAAGGTAACTCATAGTCTTCGTTAATTTCCAAGATGGCTACCTTAATTTCCGGATTCTTTGCAGCACCCTGGCGTTCATATTCGTACGATAATATCACATCATAGTTTCCATAAGGCAAATTCTTATTGGCTCCCTTACCTAGTTTTTTTGAGCAAATATTTGTGTTTAAATTATGGGTTAAGTGGACACCATTTTGAAATTGTTGAAAGATTTAGGGTGTGAAAGGGACCATTAATAGGTGATTATGTTTTTCAAAAGATCCCTTTTGGTAGTCATGGAAACGGCACACATCACCAAAATATAGTTTAGAAATGTGTTGGCAAGTTATTTTAGGCTAGATAGGTTTAAAGGGGCTATGCCATATTCATGAGAAAGGTTTCTGTTGATGTTAACTAACTTATTCAAAACAACAAATTTCACAATCTGTGAACATACGCAAGATTTTGGTTTTTGCTTTGAAAAATATCTTGATATCCTTAAGATCCCAAAATACATTGATCTATGGTGGTTTGTTTAGGACATGCTTGACATTTTTATTTATGATTTTATTCTACGCGGTGGCTCAGTGAGTTAGACGCTTGTTCGCTAACCTGAAGGTCCAGGGTTCAATCCCGACATAGGTCGAGATAATACCTTCAGATATATCACACCAGTTTCCCCCTGTCAGTAAGTTAGACGCTTGCTCGTTAACCTGAAGGTCCAGGGTTCAATCCCGGCATATGTCGAGATAATACCTTCAGATTTTTCAACCCGGTTTCCCCCTGTCAGTGATACAGGTAAGAGGGGCTGACATGGAAAAAGAGTCTAGGCGTTCGGATGGGACAATAAACCGAGGCCCCGTGTACTACAGGCTGTGCATGTTAAAGATCCCTCGACAGTTAATTAACAATTAGTACTCTCTGTTTTTAATTAACCCTTTTAAAACAAATTCAGTTTGGTCAAGATGATACATAGATATAAATAACATATTTTAGAAATATTTTCAGGTATAATTTACGAGGTTTTTGATAATGAAAACATTTTACAAAAATGCAGAATGCCCCTTTAAAATCTTTCAATATTAAAATTTGGCTTATTACATCCTCAATAAAATGAACAAAAATCAAAACAAACATACCAAATAATAACGATTTCGTTAATCCAACTTGCCGATATCCAAATGAAAACCAAATCCCAAACTAGATAAATCTCAATTTTCTAAGATTCCATCCAATTGGCTTTATATATGAAGTTTGACACAAAAAAAACACCTCACTAAGTGAAAAACGGTAGCAAAAAAATGACTATGTTGGAATACAAAGGGACAACTGTTGTATTATTATTATTTGGTCTCTAAGGCTAATTACTTTGTTACATGCTAACATGTCATAGACACCTCCAGGAATCGTGTTCTATGGTTTAAAGATGCTCTTCCAGGATTCCAGGTTCACCATTTTTTTGACCAATCATAACTTAGTCTCAGAAACAGGAATTTTTTAGCTAAGCCAGCTCACTGTCGAAATTTGAGCCTTCAAATCCATGTGTGTCTAGAATTATCCTCGTTTGAAAGTTAAAATGACGAGTCGTCTTTTCTTGAGACACTGTCATATATAGAAAAGACATCTATAGAAATAGTGAGTAAAATTCCTAGTTTGAGATATTTTTAAAGGAATTATGTGATTTTCGTACATTTCTAGTACTTCTGAAGATTATTTACATATATTTTCAGCCATCTGTATCACTTTTAATAATTAAAATCCTGTGACGTGTTTGTCTACAACATCTTCACCTATATTGAGATAGGAGAATGGGATGTTAGATTTTAATTCTTAAAAGTGTTTCACCTCATACAAGGCCCTGAGATAAGACTGTTAAATGATTTACAAATGATTTACAAACAGACCAATCAACACTCTTCTACATAGTCATATTAACAATTTGTTTTGTAATTATAAACACACACAAGATTCAGGATTCTATCTTTAACTTCTGCCAAAAAAATAGTTAACGTATTTAATTAAATTATATTTTTATGTTAGTTTCTTGCCAAACAAAATTATCCCAATCAAACAGAAACTTTCTATAAAAAAAAGTTCCTCTACAAAAAATTTGTTTTGTAATGCGTGTCACACGGAATTAACCTGGAAAAATCAAGAATATTCTAAGAAAAAACCCACCCAAAACCTTACATAAATCTACCTTTAAGAAAAACTAAATTGAAGTTTTACATCCCAAATTTTGTTGTGAACTCTGACAATTTTGTCCTTAGGATCTTTAAGTCATGAAGTGGAAACACAATAATTAAGGCAGTGTGCATGAAGTGGAAACACAATAATTAAGGCAGTGTGCAATCAGGGAAATTTTGCCATTTTATTGCCTTAGAACATCTTTAAAACAAACACACGCATATTGGAGGTGATTAACACCAAGCAGTGTGCAATGAGGAGAATTTTGTCAGTTTCTGTCAGGGAGAATTGAAGCTGTGGTAGCTCAGTGAGTCGCTTGCTCACTAACCTGAAGGTCTAGGGTTTAATCCCAGCATAGGTCGAGATAAAACCTTTGGATTTTTCAACCCGGTTTCCCCCTGTCAGTGATGTAGGTAAGAGGGGCTGACATAGAAAAAGCGTCTAGTCGTTCGGATGGAACAATAAACCGAGGCCTCGTGTGCTACAGACTGTGCACGTTAAAGATCCCTCGACAGTTGGAAATTGAAACAGAGTAGGCTAATGCTGCTGTCCTGGCAAAATTCCCTCATTGTACACTGCATCATAAGGTGCAGAAAAGTAGGATGTAAAACTCCATTCATTTCATTTCTGGCAAGGAGCATCTTTAAGATTAACAATCAATGAAGCAGTATAAAGTATTGATAACTTACTGGGTATCCATGTTGTAAATAATTTACACTGTTAAGATTGTTTCTAGTTCCAGATTGCGTTAACACGGCTTAATTCCCCTGGGACTGGACAACTGAGTCTTTGATCTTTAATTCTCTTGATTACCTGAAACAAACAGACGTATTTGCGATTTAAACACCCTTGTCAACGATTAAACACCCTTGTCAACAATTTAAACGCCGTGTCTATGATTTAAACACCCTTGTCAACAATTTAAATGCTCTGTCAACAATTTAAACACCCTGTAAACGATTTAAACACCTTGTCAATGATTTTTTAGGCTCTGACAACCATTTAAACGCCCTGTCAACGATTTAAACACTTAACCGATTTAAACGCTCTGACAACCATTTAAACACCCTTGTCAACGATTTAAACGCTCTGTCAACCTATGATTTAAACGCCCTGTCAACAATTTCAACACTTAACCGATTTAAACGCTCTATGATTTAAACGCCCTGTCACTGATTTAAACACCATCAATGATGCAAACGCATTTCTTTTTGTGTTTTTTGTCCACTTCACTCATCATCTATGCAGATTGGAAACACTATTAAGTGAGCAATGGTGCAAAAAAAGGAAGATGACATCCAAATTAAAATATTGTAGTAAAATTACCTCATTAATTGAAGAGTTTTTTCATTCACTTGAACATTTTAATCCTAAGTTGTCTTTTTATTTTTTATCACCTTTACAACTGTTTGACCACCAAAGTTTGATGTCTGTTGCTATGTCCAGTTAAAGATGCCTTCCCACCCTGAAAAAAACCTTTGACATTCATGAGGACAATTAAAGGTGTGAGTCCATTTATAGAAACAAAATAAATCTTCATTTCTTTTAATTCAAAGTTAAGAATGTGGACTCCATAAATGGATGAAATGTGTTCAAGGAGTGGAAATGCTGTGTCTGCTAGGGACGGCCACCATTGTGCTTATCATAATGGCGCTTAAAGCTGATAAGCTCACAAAATATTCAAAAGCTTAAAGCCAAAATATTCATGAGGGCATCACCCTTTAATGTTAAAAAGGGTTTAAACAACACCCTAGAATAAATATTATAACTATGAAGTTTGGATTAATATTTACCTGGTCCTAAAAATAATGGCCTTTATTGTCTTCCATACAGTTATATCAATTAAGAAGTGTTTTGATAATGTTTGATTAACCCTTTCTGAACAATAGACCAGTCATATATTATCAGACTTGAAGTGTTTTTACCAAGTAATAGGGGTTAATATTGGTTTATTTACAATATATACCAGTGTTTTCATTATTACAAATAAAGGGCTTGGAAATGAAATGAATGGAGTTTTACATCCTACTTTTCTGCACCATGTGTGTGGGCTAATGAATACGGACAACGACATGCAGGGTGCCATGAGGGAAATTTTGCCTAGACAGCGGCATTAGCCTGCTCTTTTTCGATTTCCAACTGTCAAGGAATCTTTAACATGTACAGCCTGTAGCACAGGGGCCTCGGTTTATTGTCCCATCTGAACGACTAGCACAAGCACAGGCACAGGCAACAGGATTATTCTTACCTTGAGGATTCGAACCCATGGCACCTAACAGCAGACGACAATCCAACTTGCTACCGACTGAGCTATTCCATTGTGTGCAGCTAATGAAAACATGAACACATAACAATGTTATTTGTCGTTACCTGGCTTTACTGAAAAATGCTCACATGCAAACCTATCCCTATTCCATTTCAGTTAAAGAGGCAGTTACCCACAATAAAAAGTTGATGTATGTAAATGAACACAAGAATTGTGAAATGAACGATCTCAAAATAGAGAATGAAAAACTCAAAAGACAAGTTTTCGAGGCTAACGTCCAAAGACATCTTCCTTTGGAATCACCAGAATCTGCTGATTTGACAGCTCAATTGGAAGAACTACAGAGGAAACTGAAGCATGTAAGTTGAGTTGATGTATCAAAGGGTAAGATTAGTATGTAACAGAAAACACTGGCAGAGCATTAAAGCAGTGTTCACTAATTGTAGAATGCCTTATGTGATAGTGCATGCTTTCCCAATAAGTGACGTCATCAAACACTTAGTTTTAGTGGAATTGCAGGAACCACAGAAGTCTGATTGAAAATTGGAATGGTGTAAATTGATGCTATCAGTGTCCCTGATACACATACAAAATTTAGAAAACAATTCACAATCCCTTTAATAAAGTACTATTCAACAGAAGGCACTGGCAGAGGACTATAGTAGTGTTCATTCAGACAAATTAAGACATCATTTAATCATCAGTGATTCCAAATCCTCAAAAATAACTATTCTTTAAAGATCACTTGGAAATCAAACAAATTAGAAAAGGCCAATGTCGCTGCCTCGGCAAAATTTCCCTCATTGCCCACTTCATGTGTTTTAGGAAGAAGAAAAATGTCGTAAAATTCAACTGAAAGCAGATGATAATAACAGAAAATATGAAGTAAGTAGGTTTTGCTATGTTCATTAAAAGGATGTTCAAGAAAAGCAATTTAAAACTAATGATCTTCATTAAATTTTGGATTAACCATGTGTCAGAATTTCATTATGAAAAGTGATACACATGACTGAAATTGAGCTTTCAGTTGGGCCAGTAAAAGTAGAGGGAAAGGAAAGTTCCAGAACACCTGGTGCCATTCTATGATTGTGTCAGTCAACTTAGCATCTCTTTTGGAGAGTCCACATCATCTCTTTAAGAGAGTCCACATACCATTTTCATTATGACTTTCAGGATGTCTTAAAGTTGTTACAAGAAGCGCACGAACTGACCGACAAACATCTTGGTAACGCCAACAAACATCAGAAAGAAAGTCGTCAATATCGGCAGAAGTGTGATGACCTTGACCTGAAGATTGTGACCTTGACCTCAGAGATTGAGGGGCTGAAGAAGTATGAGGACAGTCTTGTAGCTTGGGCTCAAAAGGTAAACGTTTGGTTATTTTATGAGCATAATACAGCAATTTCAATTATGGGCATGGACTGTAGTTTATTTAGTTAAAATGTTGAAATCTTGATTACATCATTTGCTTAGTTACTTCAAAAGGTGATCAAGTGTTCTAATCTGTGTCAATGTGGGAAAATCTTGTGATGTTGAAGTCATTTTTCCTCATTGTGCCATTTGACCAAGCTGTAAATGAGTACAGATAATCCAGGAAAGATCACTGCCAAGAGGTTTGGTCAAGGACCAGCTGGTAGAAAGGATCCTCATTATTCCAGTCAACCCAGCTGTAAATGGGTACAGATAATCCGGGAAAGATCAATACCAAGAGGTTTGGCCAAGGATCAGCTGGTAGAAAGGTGCTCCAGAACCCCCAGCAAATACTTAGATGTCCATAAACTTTTCAAAAGAACTGGATTTTGAATTTTTCCAGGAAAAGAATTTAACCCTAGAAGTTTATCAGACCAAGGAGAAGCTGATGGGAAAAGAGACAGAGATCCTCCATCTAGAGGATGCTAACAGTCTGTGGGCAGCCAAAAACGTGGAATTGTCTACCAGATTACAGGTAGCAGAGGTAGGTGCATCTTGATGCAGTGTGCAATGAGGGAATTTTATCAAACTGGATCTTCAAGGTGCGAAGTCTGTAGCACATTTAAACTCTAAGTCTCATTTTTGTCTTTCTGGTAGCTTGGATTAAGTTTTTGGTAAAAATGGACACAAATACTTTTAATTTTGGTTGCTTCTCTTTTCAGAAAAAGGTAAACATAGAAAAAGTCAGCCAAGAAACTCAGATGGGTACTAGTCAATTGAGTCTACGATCAGAAGGCACACAGACCAGATTGTCCAGTCAGAACAATGGAACACAAACCGAACCGAAATCCACCAAATCCATGAAGACTCAATGCATCATAGCAGCTCTCTTTACAGCTGGGACCCAAACTCTTTGCAGTGGTGTACATGCTGATGACATGGCCTCCCAAACGGACATCACAAGTTTGAAAGTGACGCTTGATTCTGCCACCAATAATAGTTTCTCCAAAACCAGGTTGAATTCATCCTCCCAAACAGACCAAAAAGAGCTGGCTGAAAAATCAAGCCAAGCTGATTTAAGTTTCGACCAAAAACCAATGTCTGACGACGTTAGACCAGCCTCAACCAAAGATTCTAAAGCGTCTCCTGGAAGACCACCCAGTGGATTGTCCCAGGATCTTCAACCTCAAAGACGAACTCTTCCACGAACATCCTTCCAGCTTCCAACATCCTACACAATCAACGAAAAATTCCAAGCATTTGAGAAACATTCTGATAGTTTCAGAAGATCAGACGTTTCCATGACAACAGCATTCTTACCAACCAATATGGCCGCCAAGTATCAATTACCAAAAGATGACTCTCATCAGCAAAGTTTCTTTGATGAAGCTCAGAAACGATCCTCAAATGATCAAGTTCTGTCCAATCGTACTCAAGGACACAACGACAAATTGGAATCGTACTCATCATGTGCTCCATATCCGAAATATGCCAGAATGAGTCATCTAGGTCCTGGCTTGATATCCTCGCCTTCCATAGCAACCAGAAAGATCACATCAACCAGTCCTTTCCCATCAATGGGAGTTAAAGTAGTTGCATCAAGAAGAGAGTGTTTGAGCGAAGGTAAAGTCCAAACGACTTTGTTGCCAAATAAAATTGATATGCAGTCATCTGATTGGTTATTAAAATTCAATTTTATTTGTTAACCAATCAAATGACAGGAACCCTTTTTTTATTGCAGTAAAAACCACCTTGGAATTTCCAAAAGATTCACCAGAAGTTGTCGTAGAGACAGAATCCATATCTACTGTTTGCACTACACCAAACCTTCAGATGGCAGAAACCATTCTACCAACTTCCAGCAAAGGCATTCTCAAAAGTAAGTATTAATTTACACGAAAACCATGATTTTGTAAACCATCAGACCCAGGCCTGTTGATTTTGCTGTTTTTTTCCAAACATGACTGGTAAGGATCTGTCGGAGATCAAATAGCGGTTGAACCAAGATCTTCGGTCAAAACCAAGACGAACTTAATCTGAATTCTGCTCATTGATCCTACTTGCTTTAATGTATTATACCCTTTGAAACGGTAGATTCAACCAAACAAGTAAGCAAAAGATCAAAGTCAAGAACACCAGCGAATACCTCCGAATTCTTTGCCAAGCTCACTCCTGCTCGTTGGTCCTACTTGTTTCAATGTTTCATGCTCATGCAACGATAGATTCAACCAAACAAGTATGACTTCTTGACGACATTTTATCATTTCAGATCCTTTCGAATACAGAATCAACACACCAAAATCAGTTAAATTCAGTGACAAAAGACATGAGAGAGAACTGACACCAGATCCAGATTCGGTTCATGCTTCACCAGAATTGGTTTATGTCAACCAGAATGAGAATGAGATAAGCAGCAATCAAAATTCACAAACCGCTTCTGAAAGCTACACAGCAGAACCTGTGTACATGTTTAAACCAGAATAAGAATGAACCAATCGAAGAACAAAACTCATAAACTAAAACCAGTTAATGTCAACCTAAATAAGAATGAGCCAATCAAAGAATTATAATCATAAACTAGAACCAGTTAATGTCACCCAGAATAAGAATGAGTCAATCGAAGAACAAAAATCATAAACTAAATCCAGTTAATGTCAGCCAGAAAAAGAATGAACCAATCAAAGAATCAAAATCATAAACTAGAACCAGTTAATGTCACCCGGAATAAGAATGAGCCAATCAACAATCAAAATTCACGAAGTAACTCAAAAAATTATGAAAATCATGATGAACATGGTGGTTGCCACAAACCTTCAGTTGTTATTCTTTAATATAATTCAGTTGTTATCTTTTATATAATTCAGTTATCTTTTATATAATTCAGTTATCTTTAATATAATTCAGTTGTTATCTTCTATATAATTCAGTTGTTATTCTTTTATATAATTCAGTTGTTATTCTTTAATACAATTCAGTTGTTATCTTTTATATAATTCAGTTGTTATCTTTTATATAATTCAGTTGTTATTCTTTTTATAAATTTTAGTTGTTATTATTTACAAGGTTTCGGTTATACACACATTTATTATTTGTTATAATTATGTTATTCCTTATAAATTCTCTGTTATTCCTTTATATATTTAGTACCAGTAACATATATTCAGTTGTTATTTTGTTATTGTTATTAGTTACATATAATTAAGGAAATAAATTTTTTAGTAAATTCAAGTATTTTTCAGACTGGTTTTATGTTCAATGATAATTTGAGCTCTATCAACTGGTAAAGTAAATATTTAGATGACTATACAGATAGCTGAAATCAAGCTCTATCAGCTGGTAAAGTAAATATTTAGATGACTATACAGATAGCTGAAATCGAGCTCTATCAGCTGGTAAAGTAAATATTTAGATGACTATACAGATAGCTGAAATTGAGCTCTATCAGCTGGTAAAGCAAATATTTAGATGACTATATAGATAGCTGAAATTGAGCTCTATCAGCTGGTAAAGTAAATATTCAGACAACCATAGAGACAGCTGAAATTGAGCTCTATCAGCTGGTAAAGTAAATATTTAGATGACTATACAGATAGCTGGAATTGAGCTCAATCAGCTGGTAAAGTAAATATATAGATGACTATACAGACAGCTAAAATTGAGCTCTATCAGCTGGTAAAGTAAATATATAGATGACTATACAGATAGCTGAAATTGAGTTCTATCAGCTGGTAATGTAAATATTTAGATGACTATACAGACAGCTGAAGTTGAGTTCTATCAGCTGATAAAGTAACTATTCAGACAACCATACAGACAGCTGAAATGGAGCTCTATCAGCTGGTAATTCAAAAAACTAAGATATGAACAGTTGAACATTTTATTGTAACTTGCAACTAACCAGTAACAATTATTCTAAACAGAGAGAGAAAAGTAAATCTGGAATTCCAACCCAAGAAATTTTCAGTCAATCAAAAATCTCACTTATGTGTATCAGGGACACTGATAGCATCAATTTGCACCATTCCAATTTTCAATCAGATGTCTGTGGTTCCTGCAATTTTACTAAAACTAAGTGTTTGATGATGTCACTAATCGTGAATTAAGCATATTTTGCAAAAATTTAGTTTTAGTGGAATTGCAGACATCCGATTAAAAATTGGAATGGTATAAATTGATGCTATCAGTGTCCCTGATACACATAAAAAATTTAGAAAACCTTTTTACAATCCCTTTAAGCCATTAACAACCAAGACTTAAGTTAGTTGTCTCCCTTGAATTGCTATTCCAGATATCTTTACTACGTTCATTATAACAAAATACATCCCATAATATTCTAACCAGTAAACAAAATCGATTGACTATCAAATCAGGCATAAATTTGACAATCAAATCAGTGGTAATGATTGACAATCAAATCGGTAAGATTGACAATCAAATCAGTTATAAGTTGACAATCAAATCAGTTATAAATTTGACAATCAAATCAGTGATAAGTTTGACAATCAAATCAGTGATAAGTTTGACAATCAAATCAGTGGTAAGGTTGACAATCAAATCAGGCATAAATTTGACAATCAAATCAGTGACAAGTTTGACAATAAAATCAGGCATAAATTTGACAATCAAATAAGTGACAAGTTTGACAATCAAATCAGGCATAAATTTGACAATCAAATCAGTGGTAAGGTTGACAATCAAATCAGTGGTAAGATTGACAATCAAATCAGGCATAAATTTGACAATCAAATCAGTGGTAAGGTTGACAATCAAATCAGTGGTAAGATTGACAATCAAATCAGGCATAAATTTGACAATCAAATCAGTGGTAAGGTTGACAATCAAATCAGGCATAAATTTGACAATCAAATCAGTGATAAGTTTGACAATCAAATCAGGCATAAATTTGACAATCAAATCAGTGATAAGTTTGACAATAAAATCAGTGGTAAGATTGACAATCAAATCAGTGGAAAGATTGACAATCAAATCAGTGGAAAGATTGACAATCAAATCAGTGGAAAGATTGACAATCAAATCAGTGGAAAGATTGACAATCAAATCAGTGGTAAGGTTGACAATCAAATCAGTGGTAAGGTTGACAAATAAATCAGTGATAAGTTTGACAATCAAATCAGTGGTAAGGTTGACAATCAAATCAGTGGTAAGATTGACAATCAAATCAGTGGAAAGATTGACAATCAAATCAGTGGAAAGATTGACAATCAAATCAGTGGAAAGATTGACAATCAAATCAGTGATAAGGTTGACAATCAAATAACAAATTGACCAGTTAGAGTATTTCTAAGTTATAAGTATCAGTGTCTAAAGGTACATTCTAGTCCTCGGCCTAAAACACTCTGAGTTTCCTGTTCCTTTTGGAGACTCCACAAGGATGTTGCCACTGTCCTGACAAAATTCCCTCATTGCATACTGCATTATAATTAAAAAAAAGTCACTCAAAGAATTCCTTAGCAAAACATCACTAAAGGAATCGCTTAGCAAAGCACCAATCAAAGCATTACTCACCAAAGCACACCTCAAAGGAATACTTAGCAAAGTATCACTCAAGGAATCGCTTAGCAAAGCACCACAAAAAGCATCACTCAACAAAGCACACCTCATAAGAATACTTAGCAAAGTGTCGCTCAAAGAATTACTTAGAAAAGCATCACAAAGAGCATCACTCACCAAAGCAAACCTCATAAGAATACTTAGCAAAGCATCACTCAACAAAGCAAACCTCAAAGGAATTACTTAGCAAATCGTCACCTCATAAGAATACTTAGCAAAGCGTCACTCAAAGAATTACTTTGCAAAGCGTCACTCAAAGAATTACTTGGCAATTCTCACCTCATAAGAATTCTTAGCAAAGCGTCATTCAAAGAATTACTTAGCAAAGCGTCACTCAAAGAATAACCCGAAGCGTCACCTCATAAGAATACTTAGCAAAGCGTCACTCAAAGAAGTACTTAGCGAAGCGTCACCTCATAAGAATACTTAGCAAAGCGTCACTTAAAGAATTACTCAGTAAAGCATCACTCAACAAAGCACACCTCACTCAAGGAATTGCTGAGCAAAGCATCACTCAAAGAATTGCTGAGCAAAGCGTCACTCAAGGAATTGCTAAGCAAAGCGTCACTCAAAGAATTGCTGAGCAAAGCGTCACTCAAAGAATTACTCAGTAAAGCATCACAAAGCGCCACTCAAAGTTTCAGGAAATTCAGAGTGTTTCAGATATTCTATGTGTTTACATAAGTACATCTGAATATTGTTCTATTTACATTTATATATATACTATGATATACTATGATACATTCAACTACATACATATATATATATATAGAATCTGAAAAGTGCATATCTTAATTTTAACAATAGCTGAAAACAACTCAAATGTGAACTCATCCCAACTAAAAATAATACATTTCAATAAGGAAAATTTGATTTTTTTTCAAAGTGTGATGACAGATATGAAGAAAAATTTGAAGTTAGTTTCTTAAAGGTGCATATCTTCTTAGTTTCAACGAGAATAGCTCTATAGCTGAAAACAACTCAAATGTTAACCCATCCCTACTTTGTAACTTAGAGTCCAGAGGAATTGGAACCAGTGCTTTGACTTGCCTGGCAGATGGAATGGATATTGCACTTAGAACAATACAAATACAAACATCATGCACTTATAACAGCACTTTAATGAAATGCCTGCTCAAAAACATCTTCACAATGTTAATCTATCACAAACTCTGTCTAATACCTTGACATCCTTCTTACATGTTCTTCAAACAAACCTTTTGACCTCACCTGATAAACAACACGTCACAAAATGCCAGCACTGGAGAGGGTAGAAATTTGATTGGTTAAAGCATACTTTCCTTGAGTTAGGTCAAAAGGTTACTTAGATGAGGGCTGTCTTCAGACCCTAACTGAAGTGGCTATATTGAAAATAAAAGCTAATAAAAAAGGAACAAAAGTTTGGCCTAATTTTAATTACACTGTTGAATATTTTTCTTGTATCACAGAAGTTGGTAAATGTTTGATTGGTTTATACTCTAGCAAAAACAACCAATCAGAGCCCTCGACAGAAAAACTGTAAACAATATGGCTTGAATAGCCCTTGTTTGCAATTTTAGTATCTTTAATTGTACTTTCTAACATGTCATTTGATTGGTCAATATTCAAATCTCACAAGGGAGATAAACCATATGTTTAAAGCTTGCCAAAATGTGTTAAATGACAATAACACAGGAAAAGTGTCTAATGATGTCAAGGTATTAGATCGAGATTGTAAATACTCAATATTGCATATTTAGATATATTTTCGACTAAAATTGGATCTAGGCTATTTATTTAAGCACTTTTGACTATACGAATACTTTTTACCCTTGAATTACTTCGGGTGGCTATTACCCTGAACCCTTTTTAAATCCACTTCAGATTTACTTGCTGAAATTATCTACTTTCTAAATTACACTATATATGATACACTACCTGGTGATACAATACGCGTATCATGGCAAGTTGTATCGAGATACATCGACTCACAGATAGATTGTACCAGCGCTAATATAAATACATACATATCGATATTACAAAGGTAGTTGGAGAGTTTGACATGTAACCCTTGCATCAAAGGTTTATACCTAAAAACTCGTACCACCCTTACCACATCCACTATCACAATATTCAAGTTTTCTAATCACGAATTAGTCCAAACTCTTTTGGCAGTAAATGTACTTAAATTTTTGCAATCATCACAGATTTTTTGCACATGCAACATTCCAATTTTAAACATTTTTGTGGTTTTCATAGGAGAGAATGCTTTCCAAACTAACAAACTTAAATAAAAAAGAAATATTGGAATCATTTGAATTAACATTGAACATTTTTACTCTCAGTTTCCAAGTTTGTAAAACTATCCCACCACAATATAAACACGAATATGCATGTGCATTAAGGTGGCCACCGAACACAAAATCCAAACTGTCTATATTACATCACTGCTGTCTTCATTATAGATTATAGGTCCAATGAATGACCTAGATTTGATGCACATGCATTTTGCTCAGTGTCCAATGAATGACCTAGATTTGATGCACATGCATTACGCTCAGTGTCCAGAGAATGATAAAGATCTGATGCACATGCATTTTGCTCAGCTTCCATTGAATGACCTAGATTTGATGCACATGCATTTTGCACAATGACCTAAATTTACGCTTTAAGAATTCCAAAATGATAACAGGCCACACAACTTATAATCTGTATTAAAAAAATTCCACATATATTCCAAGTGAAAATCAGTTGACCTAGATTTGATGCACATGCATTGTGCACAGTGACCTACATAAATGCGTGTGCATTTCAATACATCTAATACATTGGGTAAATGAATATGAAAATTCTATTGTCTTTATTCTATATCCCACTTTTGACTAAAATATTTACAATTAACACAGTCGACTGTTGAGTACAAA